TGCAACCAAAACACACACACACACACAATATATAATATAAGTAATATATGTGAGCACGCCCCATGCATTGAGTAACGGTGGTAACAACCAATCAGCTTTCTTGTAGCCACCACAGTGGCTAAGCCAATAGTTGTGATTGTGCGATTCACTTGTGCAGTTGCTGCATTACTACCTTTGCTGTTAAAACTACTGCTAATCTGCTATTGCTACAAAATAGAGAGAGACCTCAAATCTTTGATAGGTGCTATGAAGATGAAGCTGAAAACAGATTATTTCGGGAAAATTGACTTGCTCTGGGATGACTAGCCTAGATTCCAGTGGTCGATATGCAGGTTCTGATAGTTAGTTCTTTTGAAAATCACAGGAAGTTCAAGAGTTACGTCAAAGAATGACGACGAGGTTTTAGCCCAGCTTTTTGCCGGTGATGCAAAGGGATCCTCATCAGGAGCAGATTCTGATGCCAACACTGTTTCTGGTATTGAAAGGACAATAAGCGGTGCATCGAGTTTCGATAGTCAAGAATATGTTGATATAGATAGCTTGGTAGGTAGAAGATGACTAATATATGTTGGCACATCTCTTGCTATTGAACTATATCGCTTCTGCTAACACCTTAAGCACGTCGTTGATGGGCCTCTTTATTTCTAATTGTCCAGAGAGAGACAGGATCTGCTACCCCTGAGGAATTGCGTCAGCAATCTGTCGATGAGAAAAAGAAGTACAAAATTCTGAAGGGAGAAGGCAAACCTGAGGAGGCCTTGAAGGCCTTTAAGAGGGGGAAGGAACTGGAGAGGCAGGCTGATGCTTTAGAGATTGCATTAAGGAAAAGCCGAAGAAAGGTTTTGCCTGCTGAGAAAAGGATCTCTGCAGAACCTGGCCGAGAAAAGAAGCCCCAAGTGGGCAAGGATAAGGGAAAGGATGACCTTCTTTCTGAGCTCAGAGAATTGGGATGGTCTGAGACGGATCTTCACAATGAAGATAAAAAGCCTACAAGCACTGTGGAGGGTGAACTGTCGGCTCTTATTGGAGAATTGCCTCAGAAGCCTAATGATGGCAAGACTAAGCAAGGCATAGACAAGTCTCAAATAACAGCTCACAAGAGAAAAGCTCTTTTGTTGAAGCGTGAAGGGAAGCTTGCCGAAGCCAAGGAAGAATTGAAGAAAGCTAAAGTATTAGAAAAGCAGGTTGAAGAGCAGGAACTTTTGGCTGAGGCAGAAGATTCTGATGATGAGTTGTCAGCTTTAGTTCGAAGCATGGATGATGACAAGCAAGAAAATCTTCCTCGGCAGAAACAACACAATTTTCGTTTGGACGACCTTATAGGTGTTGCTGGCAATCTTGACGAGGATAGCAACTTTGAAGTCACAGACGAGGATATGGCAGACCCGAAAATGGCTGCTACTTTGAAATCCTTAGGCTGGGCTGAAGATTACGATACAGAACTAGCAACACAATCAATTCCTTTCGATAGAGGAACACTATCTGCTGAGAATCCTTCGAAAATCAAGGCTTTCGGTCACAAACAAGATTGGAATGCTTCTACTCTTGTCAACGAATCGTTTGTCACACAAGGCATTCGTAGTTCACTTGATGGGGCGCCTCGGAGAAGTAAAGCTGAAGTTCAGAGGGAGCTCCTGGGTGTTAAAAGGAAAGCTCTTGCTCTGAGACGTGAAGGTAAGAATGAGGAGGCAGAGGAAGTGCTGAAAATGGCAAAAACATTAGAGGCTCAGATTTCAGAGATGGAAGCATCGAAGAACAAATTTAACACAGAGCATGCTAAGCTCGAAAATAATAAAGTCAAAACGTCTATTGAGAGTTCAGTCAATGCTGAACATGAAGAGGATGTGACAGAAAGTGATTTACTTGATCCATCACTTCTATCAATGTTGGAGGATTTGGGCTGGAAAGATGAAGCACCTGAACCGGCAAAGGTGCAAGAAGTAGCTTCTAAGCGAATCACGGACGGTACACTTCAATCAGTCACCGAATCTACAATTGAATCCTCATCCGTTGTTTCCACTTCAGCCCCAAGAACGAAGGCTAAAATCCAGAGGGAGCTATTGGGATTAAAAAGAAGAGCGCTTGACCTTAGACGTAAAGGAAAACTGGAAGAGGCTGAGGAAACTTTAAGGATGGCAAAGGCATTAGAAATGGAAATCGAGGAATTGGAGCTTCCAAAAGGACCTCAGCTTGGTGCCTCTGAAAAGTGGAATCCTGAGAGCTCAAGTTCTTCAATTGGGCATGAGGAACATGGAAATCTGGATAATTCGGTCAGAGTAAGTGAGGGGTCTACCCAAGAAGCAGTGAGTCTAAATGTTGGACTGATGAACTTAGAGAGAACAAGAACTAACAGAGCTGATACTTCCCCTGAAAAGTCATATTTTTGGAGACCTGAAGCATCTGAGTATGATGACGAATTAATTGGCTCCCAAAATTTTGCCCAAGGTGATTTGACAGCTAAAGGAGCTGCTTCCAGTTCTAAAGTTGTCGATTCTGTTGACATGATGGATTTGCTAACTGGCAGTGATTGGAGAAACTCGCAAGTATTGGCTGAAAAACTAGAAGACAGGCCATGTTCTGTTTCCCAGTCATCTCATGATATTCCCTTAATTCAACCAGGTGTCCTGAGGAGTGCTCATGAAGACAGGACGAGCAAAGATGAAGCTTTAATGGAAAGAAAAGAGACACATGCAAACAAGCGATCGCAGGTCAATGAAACAAATGTTGGTGAAGAACTTCATCAGAAAGGCCAAGTTTCGATTCAACAAGAGATTTTGATTCACAAGAAGAAAGCAGTTGCCTTGAAACGAGAAGGGAAATTAGCAGAAGCCAAGGAGGAACTCAAGCAGGCAAAACAGCTGGAGAAGAGTCTTGAAGAAGACAAACCCCAGCCCAGTATGTCAATATCTTCATCAACCATTCCTCCCATGGAATTAAAGGAGGAGGATACATCAAAAGTGACTCCTAAACCATTATCCAGTCGTGAGCGCTTCAAAATTCAACAGGAGTCCCTCAGGCACAAAAGACAGGCCTTGAAGCTGCGAAAAGAGGGTCGGATTACAGATGCTGAAGCTGAGCTTGATTTAGCCAAGACTCTTGAGGCTCAACTGGAGGAGTCTGCTTCTCATGATTCTGGTAAATCTTCTGAAGATGGTGTGGATGATGTGGTCATCGAGGATCTTCTTGATCCTGAACTTTTGTCTGCCTTGAAGGCAATTGGAATAGATGATTCTAGTATGGTATCACGGGGACCTAAAAAACCCGAACCTGTGAAGCACAATCCTCAAAGCATAGAGAACTCTGGCCAAGACAGTATTCGTCTGGAAGAACAAATAAAGGCTGAAAAAGTGAAAGCTGTGAACTTGAAACGAGCTGGAAAACAAGCTGAGGCCTTGGATGCTCTTCGACGGGCCAAAATGCTCGAAAAGAAGCTCAACGCATCGTGATTGCTGGAAAAAAGATTACTGCAGGAGTATAGAATCCCCAAATAAGGTACTTTTTGCAGAGGATAGGTGCCATCTCCAAAATTTTATTGACTTTGATCACCATGTGTCCATGGAAACCACAATATAAATGCTAGAGTATGAATTTTTCTTTTTAATGATGTTTATGTACTTTCACAGATTATTGCAAAAATGTTGTTACGTTGCATGTCTAAGTATCACACATTGCTTGTTTACAGAACAGGCCTTATTTATGTATAGTACCTACTAGTTTAGTTTTTAGATTGGATTTTTTACCCTGGTATCATTGCCTAAATATATTCTCCATGCTCCAATTGATATTTCATTGCACTCATAATTCTTATCTGCATTATTTCCCGTTTTCAATGATCATCGCTTTTTGTGGGGTTTGTCTAGACCTGATATACGTGGACTCTGCCTCCTCCTAATAGTTTATGGGTTGGATTTTTTACCGTGGTATCATTTCCTAAATATATTCTCCATGCTCCAATTGATATTTCATTGCGCTTGTAATTCTTATCTGCATTATTTCCGGTTTTCAAGACTCATTGCTTTTCGTGGGGTTTGTCCAGACCTGATATACATGTACTCCCTCCTCCTGACTTCCTAGGGCTACTTTTTCATATTGTTTGAGAGTTCTTGTTTCATAAGTTCTCTTATGTTAAGTTGAACATATGAGCCTCGAAACGATGAGAATGTCCTTTTGGAGCACGATTCCGTCACATCTTTTCTTTTCTTATCTTGTTTCAGTTCATCGTTTGTTTGTTAATGTACTCTCACAGCCAAAGCTGAACATCTTGTTATGCTTGTGCTTTGCCAAGAATGTTTTAAAAGGAAAAAGAAAAGAGGGAGAAGCAAATATTCTCTCCGTTCTTCACTGAAGAAGTTCAACGAACCTGTTTAAGTGGCATTGTTGCTGTGTTTGATGGCAATGCAGTGAAGCCTGGTCTCCTCTGCCTGTGGATTTCTATTGCCTATACAGTTGACCTAATTCAGAACATTACGGCTAATTCTTATTCCCTCGTTAGTTTGATGGGTGCTCTTGTTAGTAATTGCTACGTTTGGCTGATGCAGGGATACATGCACTGTCTGGAGCCTTCCATGGCTCAATTGAACTGGCAAAGAAATTTGTGCTCACTTGGCTCACTTATTGATCCTTAATCCATGAGAGTCCAGGTTTGCTTCACATAGGGAAAAGAGCAAAGCGATTAAACTGCATTGAGGTCAACATAACAACGCTGCATCATACACTGGATCGTTAATTTCCTATTCATCTGTGGAAATATGTTACGGTTGCGAAATTCGGCATGACCAGCAACATGCCCAGAAGGCGATTGTGCGGCGTGGAAGCGGGAAACCATGTGGTTATCTTATCGACATTACAAAATGAAGTGGGTTTGGTTTAAAACTTTAGAGATCTCTTGGGTACTCGGGAACAAATTATGGAAACATATCTCATAGACGATCACGGTGTGTCATGGTGGAATATTTGTTATGATGAATAAGTTATCAAATGACTATTCAATTCATGAGTTCATATGCTGCCACACAGTAGTTTTCAGCCAAACATCGTCATTTAAGAGATTGGCTTGTCTCCCCTTTTGTTGAAGTGCCAGACATATATACCGCAATGCATTTCTCCTCGAGGAATCAAAACTGTCGGGTAATTCCTTAATGTTTCCTAAAACCAATTGTGGCTGTTCAAAATGGTAGAGCGTATATCCAAACGTCACATCAGCATTGCCTAACCGCAATATATCTCGAGCAAGCAACTTCCGATGGAGTTGATGCAGTCACGGGCTTGTGTGCTTTTGATCTCGAGTCACGGATGGTGCGGAGTAACTACGTGTCAATTTGGATATTCCGTAGCAGACATGAGAACTTACGATAGTCTTGAGTGCTCCTCCCTGTTTTTTAATTATAAAAAAGAACCATTTCTATGCTACAGTGTAATAACACTATTCTTCTTATATGAAAATGCAGTTTTACCTATTGGCATTGGTCGTACCGTTAAAAACGATGTCATGCGCTGGATAACACCGCACGACATCATTTGCCAAGGTCCCATACTCCCGACACTCGAAAAATACCATCAGTGACAGCAATTTATGCCTTTTCTGTCATTTTCACACATCATGTCAAGGAGCAGATAATGCACAACCGATGTGAGAGAAACTTTTTGTCTTCACCAGCAGCCAAACCTGGGACCTTCTCGGACATTGTCGTCTCCGCACACGATGCGGATGCGCCACCACCACTCTGCAAGAATGAAGCTGACAGGTGACAAGTGCCCCCCACACCTGTAAGCACGAGCAAGCTCCACAAAGGCACCGCCTTTGACGCATATCTTCTCCTTCTTCTTCTTCTCCTTCTTCTTTATATGTTGCTCCCCATCCCATCCCATGCTTTTGTATTTATCCTTAGCTTCATCCCTCACTGCTTGTGAAAGAGCAAAGACAAACCCTTCGTGCGGGAAGACCACCCAAGCCCACAACACATATTGCACAGACAAACACCAGCTTCTTCTGCAACGAGATTGAGAGAGAGAGACAGAGGGAGGGAGCAAAAATGGCGGCAGGGGGAAGGAACGTAGCAGGGCCATTGCTGTTTCTCAACCTGGTCATGTACCTCATCGTGGTCGGCTTCGCGAGTTGGTGCCTCAACCACCTCATCAACGGCCAAACCGGTCACCCCAGTGCGTCCATATCATACATAACACACGTCAAGCTTCGTAAAATTTAGCATTGCGTGACTTTGTTAATCGTTTATATGCTGAAAGGGATTGCCTGACTGATTCAGGTTTCGGAGGCAATGGCGCGACGATGTTCTTCCTCATCTTCGCCCTCCTGGCCAGCGTCGTCGGGATCATCTCGAAGCTCGCCGGCGCGAGCCACATCAGAGCTTGGAGGAACGACAGCCTCGCCGCAGCCGCGTCCTCTGCACTCATCGCGTGGGCCATCACCGCCCTTGCCTTCGGGTAAACAGCAATACAATAATCTACCGCCTCCAAGTTCTCGCAGAAAAATCAAAGCTTGAATGATGCACCCATTAACAACGTGTTCATGTGTTCTTGTTCTTTGTTGTGTTTTGCTAAATTCAGGTTGGCATGCAAGGAAATAAACGTGGGAGGGCACAGAGGGTGGAGGCTGAGAGTGCTGGAGGCGTTCATAATCATACTGACCTTCACTCAGCTCCTGTACGTGCTGCTGCTCCACGCCGGCCTCTTCAACAGCCGCTTCGGCCCGGGCTACCGAGACACCCCTTACGGCAGCAGCGCCGCCGCCGCCGCCGCCGCCGGCGAGCCTTACAAGGGCGGCCCGACCACCGGTTCGGTCGTCTAGGAATGTGATGACAATGCCCTCCTCTTCTATCTCGGACATGCATGTGTATGTCATCATCCATGGTTAGAGCCGTGGGAGACGTACGTTCATGTTTTCGTTTCCTTTTATTTTCCTCTTTCAAGGTTTTGTAAATTATAAAAAATAAAAAAAATCGGTGGAGGTTTTTGCATTTTGTTAGTCTATGCTTTGCAGTAGTTGTACGTTTAGTTCTCTTGTCTCGTTAATTATGCTTATTTATTTTTTGGTAATTTGCATCTGCTGGTTTTTCTTTTTCCTTTTCAAGGAGAGTAAGTGTTATTTACATTCACACAAATTAAGGAAAAAACTTATCAGAATTCTGTTCACTAGAAATTATAAACTTCTCGCATAAAAATAGCGTAATCTATATAATGAAATATAATCACCAACTTTGAAAGCACTGAGAAAATAGCAGGTCAATTAGATGGATTTTTCGAAGATAACAACATTTTTATTATCGATAATGATTTTCGTGGATAATAAAAATAATTTTTTTTTAATTTTTTTTTATCGAATTTGATTTGTGTATTGAATTTGATTCGACAATTTACTGCCTCCATGGCGTTTGCTTACCAAAAGCGATAAGCAATGACCTTAGGCTTGAACCGCTTAGGTGCCCTCTCAACCTACTAACTAACGATATAAGCCTTATTGAGCCACTATCCAAAATCCTATAGATTTCATTTATCGGTCTTTTATATCGATCTTAGTGCGGTTCAGACTGGAATTGACCTACTTTGAAATCGATCAATTTATCGGTCTTTCATATCGATCTCGGTGTGGTTCAGACTGGAATTGACATATTTTGAAATCGATCAATTTAAGACAGTTTTGACGGTTTTAGTGCTTTAAACCTTCAAAGATCCACGCATTACAAATATTGTTAAGGATTATTGCAAGTTCTCCTCTTGAAATGAACAGTTGTCTTCAATTTGTGCTCCAAATTTCGTACACACTACGCGCATGTCGAGAAGCAGAAGAACTAAATATCCCTTTTAATATCGCTTTTAGTCATTTCAGGAAGACATTAATTATAACTTTTGAGTCTTTTTAGGAAGTGGTTTTAGTGAAAGCAATTTACTTACTGCTAATGCTTCGAACAACCATTTTAGTTATTACAGGAGCCATAAATCATAATGGTACACATATGAATTCGCGATTAGCGATAGATTGCGCTCGAAATTTGTTTATTCACCTTTTTGCGATCAACGATAAATACGAAATCTTCATCTCCAACAAGAATAATATTTATGCCTATAATTTCACCCCTATGATTTGTTATTTCTTGTATTATTTTATGGTGCACTATCCTTTTTTACACTTGATTAAAGCACACATTCATCTAAACCGACTTCGTATAAAATATGGACTCGAATAGGAAATCAAAATGTCTCTATTGCATGAAGCGAAAATAATCTTAATGGGACTAGCTATCAATCTGATGGGGCTGAAAGGCGCCCACAGATTTTATTTGTTGATCTCTCTCTCATCGCGATTAGACATTTTTGTTAGAGGTAATTAATTTCTTTGTAGGGACAATGGTTTGAAAATGGTATATCTCTTCGAGGAAAATCAAACTGAAAAATCTTGACTTCTAAGGCAAAATCGAAAGAAGATTTCAACCTCAAATTCTTTTTCCCAAAAATTCTAACAACACCAGCTCGAGTGATATTAAATTAAACGATAAATCAGGTATTCTTATATATCGACAAAAATAGTCATTAAAGATAGTTAGGTATTTCCCAACTATTTTTATATGTCCAACATACCAAACTTGCAAATTTATCACTCTCTAACGTATTTTGAGCCTTTCCCACTTTTTTCATCTTCATATGCTCGTGCTCTCTTGGTAAATTCCTACTTCAAATGCTTCAACTAACAACTCCAACGTCTATCAAGGAGACATAACCGACTTATCAGTTCCTAGTCATTATGCAAATGGTCAAACAAACTAAAAAAATCATAAACTTATTGGACTGCCTTGCAAGAGGTGCCATTTACTAAAAGTCAAACGTGTAGTTGTTAGGGCAATGAGAACAAGCTCATCTGCACATAAGACGGCACAAAGGCCGTGAAGCCGTCCGCCGGACAATCGAGCGAACGAGCGAACGTTCACGGTTCAAGAAGCTTGTCAAATCCTTAGAGTGTAGGGAAAATTGCCAAAAAAGTCATAAACATATTGTAAGGATGTCAATTTAGTTATAATCTCTTTTTTAATTTGATCGTTCTAGTTTTAAACCTTTGGATAGTTTGCTGATGCAGTCCTTCAACCCAATTTTGGCTGGAAATCGCTAGTGTGGACATCGACCATCTTACGTGGCATGGCTACTATGGTACGACCAGCACTAATTTGAATAATTTTTGCAATTTTTTATATTTGCGAATTTTTTATTTTATTTTATTTAATTTGCATTTTGGTTGGGAGGGTAGCTAGCAACCCACCCTGGCCATGGGCAAGGGCGGCAACACCATCGCCGAATTGGACGAGGGTCATCGACCACAATGGAAAAAAAAATAAAAAATTATGAAAATTGTCCAAGTTAGCGCTGATCATGCTGAGTAAAATAAATTTCCAGCTAAATTATATTGGTAAATTTTTAAAAAATCTAAGAGTAAATTGGCCAAATTAAAATATTTAAGAGTGAATTGGTATTCATAGAATAGATGTAGGGCTTTTTTTTTTTTTTGGTTACTTTCCCTAGGAGTGCAATAGTTTTGGAAAGCCTCTAGGCATTCATCGCCTTCACAAAGAAAAAAGGAATCTGAAAGGGCTAATGGGTGCATCTGTTTCACTAAAACCTTCATGATAAAAAATATATACATATTTTCCATGAAAATCATTTTCAAGAAAAACGGTCAATTTTCATTTATTTGGTAGTTTAGGAAAAATGATTTCCTCCTTACCAGAAAGGGAAATAATTTCCCATAATCTAAATTTGTTTTTAATCCTTAGAAAATATTTTCCTCACATCAATTAATTTTCCATCTTCCGAACACCACAAAGTCGGAAACCAATTTTTCCAAAAACAATGTTTGAAACAAACCCTGGGTTCGCAATCCAACTTCCGGGACACATTTCACAGGAACACGTTCGAAAATGTTGCTGGTTTGAAGCCGCGCGATCGCACATTGCTTGACCGGTAAATGAAAAAAGTGCATCAAGGTTTTGCAAACATTGACGTATATGGACCATCCTTCCTTCCCTTACTAAACCGAAAAATCGCATACCATCGACAACGATGTTTGCTTCGCCATCCTAGAGAGCTCCTGCACTTCACAGTCACAATCTTTGAGATAAAAGCAAGCTAAGTTCTTCCATTGCCCTATAACTGTAGTATCAAACACTAGACTTTCCCGTCATATGCCGCGGGTCTCAGATGCAATCGGGACTGTACACCATATACTATATTTCAGATATATACATACACACGAGTATCATTGGAAGCGCAAGCGATTAATCCCCCCCAAAGTCCACCAGAAAAGAGAGAAACATAACGACAGACGCAACAAATTAAAAGTTGAAAAGGTCCTTCGAGCATGAGCACACCTAAGCTGAGTCCCAACGCGAGAAGATCGTCATCCTCGCCACCTGAAACTCGCGCGGACCAGGAGCGCGGTGCATCAGGTACCTGATCACCATCCGACCAAGTGATGTATGCAGACAGACATTGATCCGAGAGGGAGCACGTGCCTGATGCACCCGGTCCGCAGTCCAGCAAAGATAAACTCTTCTCTGCGAATCCAGTGTCGACTTCGATCTTGCAACAACAAAAAGGACAGCAAAAAGCCGAGAATGTGTATATCGCAGGGAGTCCTTTTTCTTTAGTTTTTGACTTCCGCGACTTTGTTTCCACTGCGAGTATTGTCTGAGGCAAAACTTGAGAGCCAGGTCTAGACTCGCGGAATCGCAGCCAATACAATTCATGTCAGTATGTGACACGGGCATCATCAAAATATGAGATGAAAGAGGAGATTTATGGAGTACATATCTAACGTTACATGGACGCTACGAAAAGCCAACTTCAGTAAACAGTTGATCTTAGCCAAAAGGATGAGAAGCTAACCATACTAAACACAGCAACAACAGTGATCAACAAGCTTCTTAGCCTCGTAAAAAGCATGTACAGGCTATAGTGCATAGCATTCGAGAAACAATAAAATGCTTAGAAGTACACAATGCCCCTGATCTGATAAACTAGGTTCGTTCACCCGAGATGCAGGCCAGAAGAAAATGAAATTCTATTGTAGTCCAACAACTTTCAATCCCATTGGCCCATAGAAGAACTCCTACTCCCCAAGTGAAACTCCGTTCAAGTAAGAACTCTCATTCCCCAATGTAGATTTGAGCATTCCTCCCACTCAGCTAATCACTACTCAAGTTCAGAGAGCGGCAACATAATAGTCCTTACCAATGATCACAATTGACAATATATTAACTTGACCCACGTTCAAAGTGCAAGTTTCCCTGCACTGCCAAAGTCTTTAAGTTGCCCAGCCTAAGGTTGTTCTAGATGCATGTATTGAAGTGGGCTATATCCAAAAAATAAAAAATAAGCAACAGCAGAAGCACTGGCCAAAAAAGATTTCACCATTTCTAGTTACTAACCTTTGCTCCATCCAACAAATGGACCCTCAAATGAATGCTTGCTTATCATCTAATAAAGAGGCAAGCATCTCAGGTATAAAGCAAGTACCCAGGTATTGTTGTGTTATGTTTTATCACAAAGGTGAACTATGAAAAGGCATCCAAATGACACCGTTCAAGGAACACTCACTAGTCTCAAAGCCCAAGGCAGACAAAACATTCTGAAGAACACCCTTTTTTTCGCGAGTTAAAAGAATTAGCAAATTTACTGTTTCTTCTAGGACCTCCTATGCCTTGTGGAATCATCAACCAACAGAGATGCATCTCAAGGTCAGTGGACTCGGCACTCTCATTTTATCTACAAGTACCATCTGATTTGTATATTAAGCTTCACAAGAGAGTTAAAGTATCCCGTATTATTTGTTTACAAGTTTCAATGGGCCTTGCATTCATGTACTTCCACTCCACCTATCAAATCAAGCTTTTGGGTTAGGCTTCCTCCTAAAATGAATTACAAGTCCAGAAATAGGGTCCTCTTCGGGATTCTAAGCCTCGAAATTCTCAATGCCACTGAACCGAAATTACAGAGCAGTTTTCTTCCCACCAATGAAGACAGACAGTGTTCATAGTAACCTTACTTAAAGATACCAAATCACCAAGATCCTCAGATGACGTTTAAGGAGAGTACTGTAAAGCCAAACTTTAGGCATGGCAGAATGTGTATCATAAAGGTTCTATTCTCAATTCTAGGCATCAGGACGACACTGCTGTGCTCTAATAAGGAAAAGAACAAGATAAGACATACACCCACACGAGAGCCTGACCCGGTGTTAAAACAAATCTAACCAAGGCGTAAAATAAAAATGAGGGTTTTGAGCAAGCTTCACATGTATAAATAAACATGTAACTCTTAAGATAGATTACCTCACTGTGTAAGAGCCTCAGAACTGTGCAGCTGTGCTAATATATGCATAAATCCGCCAAAACCTATGTACATGTTAGAATATCCTAAATCCACTTGGATCACCCAGATCCTTCGGTCAACAGCAGAGGCTTTCCCGTCCATTCATCAGACACCCCATAATCCAGGCTAAGCTCCGTCAAAGGAGGAATATTCTCCATCGCGAACAACATTAGGTGAGGGAAGGAGATATTGTTGTGATCATATAGTACACGCTGCACTAGTACATTGGGCTTGGTACTGTGGCTAATGTAACAAGCAACATTCCTCATTTTGGACACATCCATTGCGAAATCCAGAGGAGGAGCTGAGGGGTATAGAGAGCGTACATAGTCAGGAAAAATCTGCGATAAATCACCCCATTCTTCCCATTTCTCGGGAAACCTACTGGGATAAATCAGTGTATCACCGTTCATTGCGAAAATTTGGGCTTGGTCTCTGGTGAGCACAACCCCTGCATATTCGCAAACGAAAGCACCGGCTTGTATCAAATTCAAGGACCTCACACCCCAACCCGTCTCTCTCGACCTAAATATCTCAAACCTATGCTTCAACCCTCTTTGAGTTGCTCGATTCCGACAGGTCGGAGGGCACTTGCAGAAGGCTCCACACTCGAAAATAATCGGCTTCCCTTTCAAAAGAAGCCCATTTTGATCATAAAGAAACTCACCCCCATTCTTCAAAAAACAAAAGCAACCTTCTGCGCAACCGGATCTGCATTCACACCCAGTACCATTTCCATTCTGGTGGTGAACAAAAGGGGGGTACACAGACCTGACTAGGTACTCATAATACAGCGGCTCATTATCGGTGTCGATATCATTGAACAGAAGCACCGGCACATTCTCCTTCTTCATCGACATATCAAGACTCAAGTACCCAGTCGGCCTTACCGACAATGGACTAGTCCTAAGACTCTTAGCAAGCCTCATCATCACACTACCCATTTCCGGTTGCCCCTCAATTCTCACCAGCTTGTACTTGAAAACGCCGAAACCGGACTTACCCACATCGAACCAACAGTCCATAATCCTATACAACCCGTCGTACACATAAACCTTGCTCGTCATCCCGCCATCGTATCTAATCCCTCTGATGACCCTCAACTCGATTCCATAGCGCATGCTCCTCTCCAGCGCCAGGTTTCCGCCTTCCAACTTCTGGTGCACACATTGCCTGTTGAACTTATCTTGCCCTCCATGACCGGTGTATATAATCACATCCCCACTATCCTCATCATCCTCATACCCACCCGACACAATAACACTGGTGGCGATGGGCTCACCATTGGAGCTCTGACTAGCTGGCAAGTAATCGATACCAGCTTGAGTCTGACCGTGTAATCCAAGCACCATCAACTCCATCCTATAAAAGAAGATGTCGCCCACACAAATCCCAGGGATTGACCCAACAATCCTCTTGTCCCGATTTAGCCACAACCCGCGATTCCTCATTAGAGAAGCAGCGATCAAATCGCCTCTCACTCTCTTGCCGCCGCTCTCGCCGGCCATCGAGAGAATGCGCACCCCGTCGAACGTCATGCGGGTCCGGCGGACCAGATCCCGGAAGTACCTCTCGTCTTCGAGCCCGAGATCGGTCACCCGGACGAGCTCCGACGAGCGCTTGTAGCTGATCCTGGGCTTGACCACGACGGAGAGCTGATTGTTCGCCTCCGGGTTGAAGGGCACGATGGCCCGCGAGTCGGGATCGAGCACGTTGACGTCGCCGCCGCACCTGCGGCCGCCCTTGGCGAAGGCGTTGCGGAAGAGCTCGGACACGCGGTGGAACTCGGTGTAGAGGCTGTCCTCCCCCGGCGGCGACGGGGGCTCCTCGGGAAAATGCTGCGGCTCCTGCTGCTGAGCTTGCTGAGGCCGATGTTGCCGAGGTGGCGGTGGCGGTGGTGGTTGAGGTTGTTGGGTGGGCGGCGGCGGCGGCGGTGGGTCGTCGAGTGGCTCGGTCTTGGGCTCGACTTTGGGGGTGACGAGGTGGGCGGTGGCGGCGGGGGCGGAGGAGGAGGAGGAGGTGGGAGGGTCGGGGAGGAGGTTGAGGTCTTGGAAGGGAATGAGGGAGTCCATCAAACTTCAGGTGGGTACAGAGTGAGAGAAATGCCGGGCATGAAGAGGCAACTGGGGACAGATTCTGGAACTGGGTTTTTCTTCGAAACCTCCGCCCAAGATGGGAGTTGCAGGTGGAAACAATGGCGGGTTTGCAAGGGGAGGATGGAGGAGGATGGAGGAAGGTGAAGAAGGAGGAGAGGAAGAGGAGCTCCTGAGCTTAAACTTCCGACTGTGGTTCCACCGAGAAGGACGAGTTCTTACCTCGGCCTGGGTGCCACGCGCTCGGCGTGCTCCAGCTGCCCGGTCGGGCCCGGTCGGACCGGGCTTGTTGTCCACGGCCGGTTCGGTAGCGAACCGGGTCGGTGTATATTCGGGTTCGATCCGGTTTGTTGTTTCCTTTCTCTCTCTCTTTCCAGGAATTCATTTTTAGTAGTGGGGAGGATGGAATATGTACCTCCTGCTCCGACACATCCTCTCGTGATTGCCTATAAGGCTCCTTTTTGCGAAAAAAAGTTCTGGGTTTTGTACCTGGTGATGTACATTTTTGGGCTTAGTGAAATGAGTCGATCTTTCTAGCCGTGCTTCGCCTTTTGATTCTCCTACAAAGTGCTCCCCGGAGGTTGCGCGCTCGAATGAATATGCGTGCTGCTCTGGTCGTCGAGGATACTGCACGTCGGCAGGCTTCGGGACCAAGGCCACCGATCAGGGCCGTGACCTTTTGGTGTTCGAGCTCGAGGTCGAGCGAGCTCGAGGTGGCGAACCGTGGTCTACACGTGAGCGACCAAAGATCGTGGATGGATCAAGGACTTGGGAGTCCAGAGTGAACGGCCTCGATAGGCTTCGGGGGCATCGTGCATGACGTCGGAGGAGTGACCCAATATCGTCGGAGGGATTTGCATGGCCTGATGAGCGATCGAACGGGAATCCTCGAGGACAATATCTGCAAGACGGTAGGTGCCATGTGCGAGGATGCTGAGCAAAACGACTGCTCAGGTGGCAGTACGAATGTGAGCCGCTGGTAATGCACCCAATTTCGAGATGGGACGTGCAAAAGTGCCGAAACCGAGCGCGTACTCCGGTGCTCGGTATGCTAAACAATTTGAGAATTCCCCGGTGCGATGCGGGGCAATACTTTGGGGGCGGCGCGCCCGCGCTCGAAGCAAACCAGGGTAGCCATGGCGGCCATGTATCTGTCGGGCGACACCAAGTAATGGTGGCGGACCAAGTACGACGGAATCCAATAGGGCCGTGCCCACATGAACAATTTGGGATGAGCTAAAGCAAGAACCGACAGGAGAGTGTTACATGAGCTAAAGCATGGTGACGAAATTCTAGTCGGAGACTTGGCCTTACCACAAGCCACATTTGAGCGCTCGACGGATCACACCTTTGAGAGAGAACACTATAAATTTTAAGCGTTCATATCATGAAATACTCTAAACCGGTACACATGTAACAAATTTACCTTTTATTAGTCTTCGTTAAATTTTACCGTCAAATTGCTGAGTTGGAGTTGATAGATGTACCGGTTTGGGGTTTTATCTTTCCGTTTGTCATATGTTTACCAATTTCTGATTTTTTGTAATATTTTTTCAATTTAATGAAGGATAAATTTACAATAAGTGTATCAGTTTTAGAGTTTTTGTGTAGATTTTTTTGCTGTATTAACCCAATTCCAAATTATGGAGAGGCGATCGTCCAAGTTGGCTCTGGTGCTCGTTCTGGTGTGGGCAGGTGTACCGTCTTCGGTGGGCTACCAGTTCTATGAATGCAACATCAACCACGATTGCAACTTCGGATGCGATCAGGACCATGGACTCTGCATCAATCACCAATGCCGCTGCTTTGTCTAGTCAGCGGAGAGGACGGACTACGGGCCCGTTTGGTTCGACTTTGGGAGAATGCCTTTGGTAAAATGCAAAGGCCTTTGGGCTAAAGGGGTTTTCCGAAATGCAAGTAGTGTTTGGTAAGTGTATTTTAAAATCACATTTGAAAGCAACTTTGGTCTAAATACCGTTTGGTAAAAATTATATTTTGTAAAGGACTTGTGCTGATATTTTAAAAAAAAAAAAAAAAAAGCTTGAGGTGGAGCTTAGCCACTGACTACCGTCGCTGGCCAGATCTTGTCGACAGCCAACCGCCAACGGCCAGATCTGATCGTTAGCCAGCCTCACCTAACCTCAAGGGAGGCGGCCTGAGGTCGTGTGACCTCAAGCGTTGCCTGGGTCGTGCAACCCAGGCGACGCCTGAGGTCCAGCGACCCCAGGCGGCATCGCCTAGCGCACGACCCAAGCGACCATCGCCTGGGGTCGCGTTAGCCCCCAGGCAACGGTCGCCGGCCGCCGAACCTACTGCTTGGGGAAGATGATGAATAGTGCGATGAACAGTAAACTTGCATTCCGAAAATACAACTTGCCAAAGTACCTCCGAACCTGCCTTTAGCTAAAGGCCTTTAGAGTCCTTTGGAAATGCAATTGCATTTTCCCAAAGTGCTCCAAAAAAATTACCAAACGCATCTGCATTTGCCCAATAAATTTTAGAATTTCAATGTTTATTCCAAATGCTAAACCAAATGGACAGCACTGTACTGTCACTGCCGGCCGCAGGGAACCATCGCCCTCGAGCAAAACCATAAGTCAAGAATTTGGCCGCTTTTGTTTTTGTCGTGTTCTCTTCCAAAGATAAAAGATTCTCAGCATCATGTAATAAAAATAATGCTATAATTTGCAGATTTTAATCTTCCGAAATAAATGGGATTGAATAATGAAATCAACGTTTGTTTTTATATTTTTTTTTTACGCGACGGGAGCGATAAGTGGGACCCATGAATTGAATCGTTACCAACCAACCGTCTAAGAATTCGAAGATGCATTGTTTTCGAAAGCATATAGCGGCGACTCCATGTGAACTTGAAAATGTCAATGGGTTATATTCGACCCTCATAAGCTTTAGATAGACTCATCAACTCAATGATGTAGATATAGGTCTGCTCGAGTTTGTCAATGAAAAAAGTTTGATTGATTATGGATTACATATCCATTGTTAAGATACCATTTGAAAAATTATGTAAATATAATGAAAAAGAAACTCGATACGACGGAATCTACTCACGTCGAGTCTAATATGGACAAAAATACCCCTTTTAATGTAAGGTGCAAATATAGTAGGTCTTTTGAGCTCATCTATATGGTTCGTGACCATCTATAAATTCAGATAAATCAAGATGAAGACATCATAAAGAAAATATAAAACTTATAAACTCACGTTGATCCATTTAATCTGTTAAAGCTCACACGGAAAATATAACTTGGAGACGTTACAAAGTTAACTAAACTATACGTGCTAAATTTAAGTATCCCAATCTAAGCGAATCATACGGATGTATTAAAATCAGTGAATCTGCTCATAAATCTAATAAAAGAGATGCAATTGGGAATTCTAGTCCATTCATGGAGTACATTACATTAGTAAAAAATTTAGATAGATTCCATTTTCAAAGTTCATAATTCTAAAATAAGCTTACATATTGACAAAAGAAATATGTTTTGAAGCACTAAGTTCTTTTGTAGAGTTACTACGACGATTAAAGTGTTGCATGAAGAGTGCACGTAAATTAAACTGGTTGATTTGTCTTTTTTCCTTAATCTGATTTTTGAATATTAGATGATACATATAATATTTGTTAACTTGGAAGTTTATTTCCTAATATGAAATTGACTGTTTCAGATCGTGAAACGTTGGCGTTGGAGATTAATAAGAAACATGATCGCTAAGAGTTGTTCCCTATTTTGGAGTCTTAGAAAAAAGAAAAAGACCCCATTAACATAAATAGGAAACAAGCAGGAAAAAAACATGTCGGTGGATATTTATCCATCTCTGCAAGTATGAAAATAAGCTATAATTTGCAGTATGAGTATTATTCATGTAATAGGACACCTTTTTTTTTTAAATTAACTCCAATATTAGATGGATAGATTATGCATTCCAATATTTATTTATTTTTACCATTTTTTTCATAATTAAAATCAATCAAACATAAATCGATAGATATTAATGTTTGAGAATCATAACTAAAATAATTCAAGACATTTTTTCTTCATCTATCTTTGCAAATTTTAGTCAAAAGAGATAAAATCTGGGGATTGCAACGCTACTTTGTAAGACATTCTCAGACAAAATTTTTCACCACAACTACAAAGAAATTAGTGAGGCGCCAAATATAAATTTGTTTATGTTGGTGACCTAAATGTTTTATATTTTATACTCGATGGTATGCGATGTCCAACACGTGTCGTGCTTTAAACCACACTTAAGTTTCTCCTTGAATCACTAAGCAATTCCATGGGTTAAATTCAAATACATCAACTTCAATTATATACTTCTCTTTAATTGTAAATTATGATACAAGACATTGATTGATGTGCGTCTGTGTTAACTACGACAATAACCGCGGATATCGTTTTAGTTCTAACTATAGTGAAGTGCAAGTTTTTTGTGCTTTTCATTCATAAATTGCCACGTGTTAATTCCACGAAGAGGTAAGTGTTCACTTTGCTCAATGAAAATTTGCCCGCAAAGTTTTAAGAAAAATATCATTTGATTAAAATAATAATAATAAATCAAATCATATTTACGTACTTAACAAATGACAACCATGACACTTAAAATCGATTAGTCAATTAGTAGAGCGTATTCACCACGTCTCCCAAGATTCTCCATTGAGACACTGTTTGATGTATTAAGTTGTATGAATTGGAAAATAAAGCTGCCCAATTCATGCATTTTCTTAAATTTATTTTTTGTAAGATTACATTGAGCATATCATAGTTTTCGGAAAAGTAAAAAAAATATATATAATGCTAACATTGTAAAGAGACCAGGACTTAATTAATGTCTGCAACTCCTTCACTGTCAAAATAGTAGTCCACAATATCATCATGCCAAGCACCAAATTAAAGTTGGGTAATGTCAGGTTGGTATTTAACATTATGAAATTGATAAAAAAAAATGAAGATTCGTATCCAAGAAGAGGGCTACATTAGGTAAAGCGAGGTGACGAAATCCAAAATTATGTGCGTGAGATCTCGGCCCGGCTATAATTGGACCTATTATGAAACTTAAACTGTCTAAGAATTCAAGGATGCATTGATTTCGAATGCATATAGGGGCGACTCTATGTAAACTTGAAAATGTAGATGGATTATGTTAAAGCTGCATGAACATTAGATTGACTCATCAATTTAATGATATAGATATAGATCGCTCGATTTCGTCTATAGAAAAAGTTAGATTAAATTATTGATTGCATACCCATTATTTAGAGAACATTTAAAAAATTATGTACATATAATGAAAAAAAAACTTAATACAACATAACTACTCATGACGAGTCTAATATGGACAAAAATATCCCTTTGAATGTAAAGTGCAAGTATAGTACATCTTTTGAGCTTTATATGTATAGTTCATGATCCTTTGCAAATTCAGATAAATCACGATGATGGCATCATAAAGAATGTATAAACTTATAAACTCACGTTGGTCCATTAAATCTGTTAATCTCACACGGAAAGTACATGCTTGGAGCCTTTATAAAGTTAAAACTAAAATATACATGTTTATTTCATGTATCTCAATCTAAGCGAATCATACAGATGCATTAAAACTAGTTAATTTACTCGTAAATCTAATAAAAGAGATGCTATGGGGGATTCTAGTCCGTTTGTGGAGTACATTACCTCGGTCAAAATTATATATATAGATAAATATATGTAAGTATATTCCATTTTTAAAGTTCATAATATTAAGATAAGCCCACGTATTGAATAATGCCACACAAATGTTTGGTATTCTCAATTTATCAATAGAGTAAATGGAATTCACATCTTATTTAGATAGATTACCTTGTATCTGTTATGACTCTTAAAATCGATTAGCGAATTAGTAAAGCGTGTACACCACGTCTCCCAAGATTCTCCGTTAAGACATTTTTTGATGTATTAAGTAGTACAAATCGAAAAATTAAAGCTGCCCAAATCATGGATTTTCTTAAATTTATTCTTTGTAAGATTACATTCAGCAATCATAGAATTCAAAAAAGTAAAAAAAAAAATCTAATGCAAACATTGAAAAGATACCAAGACTTAATATTTGCAACTCCTTCACTGTCAAAATAGTAGGCGACAATATCATCATTCCCAAAGCACCATACTCTCGCACAAACAGAGAAAATTCTCATTGGCAAACCCTAGTCAAAAGCTTGAGACACATGAATAACGTTTCCATCACCCTCGCTTGGAACTATAATCAGATGGAAAAACCCAAAACGGAGGAGGCTCGATCTTGTCCGAATCGAGTTCGCAAATCTCCTTCACTTTCCCGCTTTGTAAGCTATACACCCCCATGTCGTGCCCACCGTACAAGACGTCGTGCTCCACTGGATCCCAGTTATCGTCCGTGAAGTACACCGAGTTTGCCTCGAACTCTGGGCAGTCCCGGACCGACACCGATCTCGAGTGGCTCCTGCCCACAAACACAGCCCAGTCGCCAATCGAGTCCAACCCCACCCACTCCTCGATGTTCCTGTCCAGCAAGTAAACATGGAAATACAAGGTTCTATAGGGACAAACCAGGGGGTGTGTGTCCTCGTCTGTCAGCAGGTAATCTTCTTCGACCGGGACACCGTGTCTATTCACGAAATACCCTGTGAATCTCACCAGAAGCAAAATCTCACCTGCCGCCTCGACTAAATATGAGCTCGTGAAACAAACTTTCCTAAGAGCACGTGCTGCCTCGGCCGATTTCCGCGGGAAGGACGACTTAATCTCCATGATTTTCATGGGGCAATCCCTATTAAAGTCCCATGCTTCGATGAATCCGTCGTTGCTAAGGGCAAAGAGCGTGCCATCGTAGAATATGACATCGCTATAAGGAGCACGATTACCAGTTAGCTCGGTCCATGCGCGGCCTCCGCCGAAGTCTTTGCAGCCGCAAAATGCAAGCTTCGACTCACTACCAAAGATCACGACGACCCAGCAACTCTTGCCCTTGTCATCATCATTAGGGTTTGCTGATAACACTGCTTTCGAGATGATATAGTCACGCAGCGTCAAGAGAGGAAGTAGGGTGGTGCTCCGCCAACACCCCAGATGGATCGTCTCGTAAAAGGCGGCCAAACCGCAGCTGCCGCCGTCATCGTCGTCGCTCCGAAGCACCTGGAGCACGCAGGGGAACGTCTCAATGGGAGGGAGGCGGAGGACCCTGCAGCCCCGAAGTGGGTCGAGGAGATAAGGCTCCGACTCCTTGTCCAAGAGGATGAGCCAGCCCTGTGAAGATCCGACGCAGAGGCTGTCTGAGAAGGTCTCCGGAAAGCCGCAGAGGGCAAGGGCGGTCTTGTCCTTGATACTGAAGAAACGACCGCCATGACCATGGTCATCCTTGTCGAGAGGAAGCATCAACAATGGAGATTGAGAAGGAGGAGGGGTCAAAGCCAGACCCATTCTGGATGGAACACAACGAACGATGATCAGACACAGACAGGGAGAGAGAGAGAGAGAGAGTAAGAACAACGATTTAAGAGACGCTATTGAAGCGGTGGTTCCTTCTTAGAGTTCAAATAAAAAGGAGTCATATCTCTCGTTTTTCATGAACGGGGTGATTTTTTTTTCTTAATCTGATTTTTTGGATATTAGATAATATCTGTTATCTTGGATTCTTATTTCCTAATATGAATTTGGCTGTTTCGGAATGTGAACTTGGCGTTGGAGGATAATAGGAAACTTGATCCCAACGGTTGTTTCCTTTTTTGGAGTCTCAGAAAAAAAAATTAGCTATGTACTTATTCACGAAATGAAATAAGCAACCCTTCAAAGTATCGATATATTACTTTGATAAAATTTATTTTCCTTTACAATTACTATTAGATCCATTGTCAGTATAAAAATGTACTCACACAAACCGTTGATGGGCTACATGTATGTTTGGAGTTAATTTTGCGCATTAATTTCTCGGTATGTCCAATATAGTGAGTAAACTAGTTTTTACATCGATAGTGAACCAAATAGAAAATCCTTCGCTTTTAAACTTAATTTCAAATAAAATGAATACAAGTTAAAATTTGAAACAAATAAATATTTGGGAATAAATCACATTTTGGAGTATGGAATTTGGTGTTTTCTCGAGAGAGTGGGAAGAAGAAGGTGATGGCGGAAATTTGAGAAACAAAATAGCAAATTTGATAAATAAGTGAAAAGGATCGGGAGTGGGAGGAGCAAGTTAAAATCCAATAACAAAACTCGAGACGCGAAATGTTGGCTCTCAAAAGCGACGATGCAAATTGATTTGTTTGCGCAAAAGTTGAGTGTGACAGTTGAAATTTTCCCGTGATTTAACGACACCCAGAATCGCTGCGTGATAAATCATTAAATGCCGCAACCTTCTCACCATTAATGCCTCTTTGATTCATTCATCTAGCAACTCGTTCTTTCGCATATATAGTCCACACTTATATTGTAAGAGTTGGTTGTTCATGATCCTTCTCTGCTCCATGCACAACCATATCCCTGATTTTGCAACAAGAATTCATAATCGAGGTCGAGACGTTCTTCACGCGGCCATTTTCCTTATCCAATCTCCACTTATCAAATCGGATCTCTATTACAATCCCGCAGTGCGCATGCTACATCTAGGAACCGCAATGGTAAAATTAATTGTTTTCTTTTTGATAACTCAAGAGGCATGAGCGCAAAGACCTCGTTAACTAGAGAGCGGCTTATTCAATGCACGGTAGCGCAAGCACAATTAATGCAATGGTAAATTGGAGAGAACTTTTCGTTTTCTCATAAATCAAACCACCTTGCTTTTCAATGCTCAAGCCTTCTGTACTTAGATAACAGGAATCTAGTGAACCATCTCCTCGAAAGTGCAGGACATGTACTTTCTCCCAAACCGCCGCCATTAATAGACTTGCTCTGAAATGTAGAATGTATTTGATGCAGAAAATTTGACGGCCATGAATTGCAAATCTGCCTCCATAACTGTTACTCATGAGGATTACTTCTGACTAAGCATCTCATCGATTTCCCCTTTCCGGTTGTACATGTCCACAATCTTTTTCGCATAGGAGGGCATATGCGCACTGGCTCTACATTCATAAAGCTACTGAATCAGAAAACGAGGTAAACTATAATCAAGTGAAGTTAGCTGCAAGCGTGAAAAGCATACCTTTGCTTTCCCCAGGCGCGATTCACATATAAGTAGTTGCGAATCGTATGGTAATCAAGTGAATATCGAGCGAATTCTAAACCTTTCGGGCCAATCTGGATCAACGCAGCAAAATATAAGATTCATACTAAGATTCAGCTTAATTATTTATGTAGTGAAGAATAGAAGAGTTCTCTATACCAAATTTAGAATGAATGCTAGCAAGTTCCCAACAAACTTTGGGGCAGGTTGAGCAGGCCCTTTCCCTGAGAAAGGTAAAATATAACTTAGTTGTCTAAGACTGAAAATCCAGAAGATACAGAGAGATCCCTTGACAGAGAAATAAAACAAAAAGATTTGGACATTCCATTGTTCTTAATGTGCAGCTGCTGATCGAGCCAGTGAAAGTATTCAACAAAAAAATAACTAAGGACACTTGACACGCATTGCCATAAAAAAATTAAAAAGTGCCCAAAAGAAAAGGAAATATCCATTTCATTTTATTGAAATCTCATCCTCCTTCAGAGAGAGAGAGAGAGAGAGAGAGGCATACATACCCAGCTTTGCTTGGTCATCTGCCTTGACAGTCTCCATGACAAATGGTTGTCGAACTCCCTAAAGTAGTATCTGCTGGAGTCAAATTGCTATTCTATTTGTGAAAAACCCAAAGAATACAGAGCAAAGAGCATACACTGCTAGTTGTAGGTGTAATCTCTAAAAGATCTTCTACCAATCCGAGCATTTCCCTTCCACGTTCATTTCTGCAATTTTTCCAGGGAGCATAACGAATAACAATTCTTTAGCAATGTTTTTCATGCTGCATGTGTCAGCCAGACATCGAGAAAACATCACTGTAGAATGATCATGATCCAAGGTAACTTAAGTTACCTCACTGTGATATACTGCGGATGCTGCGTCATGCTGATTCCAGAGTATTTGGGCACACCCATGTAACCAACCACAAGGTCCTGGAAGTTAGAAAGAAGAGTCAGAATGCATTACACCCAACACCATATCGCTAGCACAAAGGGGCTTCCACGAAGTATAACGAAAAAGCCTCACCATACCACTATTCATTAAACAACAACTGTTAGCCATCGTTTGTTTGACCATATTAAGTTACTAGCTACTAGACTCCATGAGATAAAAACTACAGGTCCCATTTAGAGATGTTGATAGAACTTCATGCCCGATGGTTGTTTGACTGGGCATAAAGGAATATCCAAATCACCGAAAAGAAAATGCAGATGATAATATAATCAGTCAAAATTAGCATCTACTAAACAAACTTGCATAAGAGCAGTCGGAGGAAAACTCACCGCTAAAGCATTTGTATAGTCAAAGCAGCTGTAAGACATGAGAAACATCTAAAGTTAGAACACAAATCACATTGTAAGAGCACAAGTGATCGCAACATTCGACACATTTAAACGATCATGCAACCGAAAAATAATTGATAGAGAAACTGTAAGCAAATAAAAAAGAATGCAGTCCTGCTCTTGAAGGGCCACTTGGCCCAGTTTAGACAGGATAGCAATTTTAGTGGCATGTCACAGTGTGACTAGAATACACTTGAAGGTGCAGTACGAGAAAATAAAGCACCAGAATCATTACCTATAGCAAGAAGGAGCAATAACATCAACCAAGTCGTTTGCTGGTAGGCAAAAATAAGGAACCTGTTCGTTAAACACTGATGAGAGGATGAAGCAGCTTGATTCATAAAAGCCAGTATAAGCTGGAAGCATACAGACCACACTACCTCTTCAATATGACCATCCAGATGCTTCAAATGGACCTACCAGAAAATAACCGATCATCAGACACCTAGATGCTTTACAAGAAGTGGAACTGGTAGTGCATCTGCATCGATCACACTCACACACAGTATGCCACAGACCTTTAGGAAACATTTTATTCAGAAAAATGCATTTTCTATCAGTGCCACAGAGATTCCATGTATTTGCGATAAACAAACTATGAACCAAAGTAATGTCATGTGGTTGCTAGCGCCAGGCTTGAGATCTAAAAGCAACCCTTGCCAATTTTTCTCACTACTTTGAGTTCTTTTTCGAGAACTGATAATTTAACAAACTGTTTTAAGGCTAGTATTCAAGCTATACAATCTGTCGTTCCTTTGAGCGACACAATTAAAGGAACGGAACCAAGAAAAGAGCATGCAAGTGGCTGTCATGGACATTAAGCTATGAGTAGTTCATTAGGCCCACACCTGCAGCCAAGTATGGATAAAGCCAAGAAATCTCAAGATTATGTCTATCACGGTACATTCTGATGAGGTTAAGACCTAAATAAATCCTCAATGCTACTAATTGATTGTTGAATTCATTCAGAAACAAACAGGAAAGGCATTAGAAGAGGTGGAACAGTTCCATGCAAACCTTGTAATCTTGCATAAACTCGTAATGAAGCACTGTTTCGGGTTCACTGCTTGCAGCCTTCAAAAACTTATCTAGACCTTCTCGAGTTCCATTATCCACTGTCATTCAGATCTGTTAGTGCTAACAGAATCGATATGTCCACAAATTGTCTAGAAAAATTCCAACATGTTTTGATAACACGCAGAGATAAAACACGACAACTTTATATATGTGCAAGCCTCTTAAAAAAGGGCATCACGGGAGACCAGGTAAAAGAAGTAAAAAAAAAAATTTAAATGAATGGCTACTTCACCCAAATTAGTAACATACACTGCAAGATAGTGCGATGTCTCAAAGAATTTGACACAGCATTTCAGTTTTAATAAACTTCAAAGTAGAACCTTGACAGAAGTATAGAACAAAGAGAGCTTTCACTTCTTACCACAATTTGTGCCCAGTACATACAGTTTGTCCAAGTTTAGGTGGTGCTCCACAGATCTTAAGGCTGCAGTTTAAGAAATCAATCTGCATTACAATAATACAAGTTACAATGTAATAAAGACAGAATCTAGCAACTATCAAGCAATAATACAAATCAAACCTTGCACTTGACAACCCACACCACAAAAAAGGAGACGCTTCACACCAGCGGCCTGTTTAATGGATAAAATTGTGATTCTGTCAGTTAAAAGTATTATAGAATGAAAATGTTTCAGATAATCTACTCAATCATTCAGTAACGGAATGTAAATCTCATAGACAGAGCAGTCAATGAATCAGATGTAATATGCAAATAAGGATAACCAGTGCCTATACACCAGCCAGTAAATTGCCATATAATTATCTCTAACTGATTAGATTTTAATCTTCTTTTCACAGCAGCACAAAGAACTAACAGTCACAGCATCACTGAAAGCATCACATTAGGATTTAGGAATGAAGATTAGCTCTTCAATAAGAGACTCTTCCTTTAATTTTTGCTTGCATGGACTATAACAGTATTTCCTCAGAACATAATCAAAAGCTGGCATGTCAAATTATTTCAGTCTCGTTCACGTGGTATCATGACCTAATTCCATGACAGAGACTATCTCATTACATTCAGCTGAAATTCTCAACCACTGAAGATCCAGAATGGCAGGTTGCTCGCTGCTACTGGAGTTTTAGTTTTAAAATGTTCAGCTATCTCTTGACTCTTGCAAATAAAAAAAGAAAGATGAACAATGTCAGCTTGATCTTAAAAATTAGGAAATTGGAAAAATCATAATGTTAGATACAAGCAGAGGGCTCTGTCCATTCAGAAATGACCCATTACAGTGTCGGTGCCACATCAATGAAAGCTGTTATGGGCCTTGCGGGCACTTCAAATTTCATTGCCGTTGAGATATTGGCCTCTGACAGTTCCATCACATAACAGCCTATATGCACCGATCTCTAAAATCTTAATGCAGGCACTTCCCACGCTATTACTGAAAACCTAACCATCCTAAGGAGGACTTGGTAAATGCATTTTAACTGTGCAACCACCGGATTGACCGTTAACTAAATGTCACTTCCGGCCAGTGTTTCCAAAAAGCACGATCAACATCAAAATTTCCACTGACTCTTATTTTTAACAACCAAGCTCCAGGTCTAATACATTGAGGCGCATCATTAGCATCTTGTATCTTTAAGCTTGACATTATGGACAGAACAAAACGAGGAGGATGTGCTTCTCTGAGAACAGCAGCTATGTTAATTGAGAGGGGGAAAACAGAAAGCATGTGCATGGTCGGTAACTATTTTGCACCGAAAGGCAAAAATACTAACCTCGACAAGAGCAAGAGTATTCAGATTAGGAGACAACGTTGGCTTAACACCTTTGGCAGCTAGAACTTCTTCAGGCGTCCTGTACAAAGAAAGTAAGGACAGAAAGAAAAGGCACATATGACATCTAGAAACACATGAAAGGGGAAATCCAACTAATAAATTGTGAATCAGAAAAACAGTCGACAAACAGACCTTGCTAAAATAGGCCTTGGAGAAAGCCTGTCATCTGGATCACTGACATTAGGGAGAACATAAAAATCGTGTTAAACACGTTAAAAATGGGCTTTAGAAGGTCAACAAGCAGATAGATAGCCATCAATGATTGGAACAAAATGTTACCTCTGCACACAAATGACAGCCTCCACCCTGCCTGATTTAAGCATTTCCATGGCTATTGTTGTCACAACCCCGGTCCACTGCGCTCCTACCGCCCAGTAAAATATATACAGAAAGATTAGTTTTTTAATATTCAGTAAGGGCTGATGCATTTGTTATCCTAAGTAACCCTTGTCAAAAAGATTGCAAGAATGCCCAACTCAGCCATGTTTTGCATTGCTGATAAGGCATTTAGATTTGCAAGGCAAGAAGTATCACAATATATGGTTTACAAAATGTCATGGCAACCAGGACTAGGTTCCTTGGAGACTACGTCTCAGCTTAAGTCCTAGCTCCAAACACAAACCATTACATGAAAGGAGTGATTAAAACCGAGAAAAGAGAAAAAAAATGATATTTCGCTGGCATGGGAGTTGCTAATGGTGGAATGAAAATAAATAGAAGTTGCTACAAGACATAAAGTACCATAACTTATTTTTTGTACAAATAATTCTATTATTACCCAAACTCAAGAGGGTGAAACTGAATCTCAGGGCGTTTAATCGAGGCATTACCACAATATCATTTAGCAGTCAAATAGAGGCTTACCCTTTTTCCTCTAGCATTCAAAATTGTGCTTCAACCCCTAGAACTTTGCAAACATGTTAAAATTGACCTTCAGAGTCATTAAAAAATTTTCATTTTCTTTTTGGTTCTTCTTTTCGTTTTGGTAGGAAAGCAAAACTTGGAGAGAAAGTAAAGAAGTGCTTTTCAAAGGATCTCCTAAACACACCCTTGCTGTTCAAATGCCAAAAAAAATTAAGAGAGGCAATTCAAAGATCCTCATGGGAAAATATTTGTCAAAAAATTGTCAAGTTGCTTAAACTTTCTCTACTTATGGAGAGAATAAAGTAACCGGCCCAAAGGATTTATTCTCCCTCCTAATTGTCTACTCCACTTTCACTTGCTTACCCAAGCAAGGAAAAGCCATCTGCTTCACTTCCATACTCAACCCCCCTCTTCTTTGAATTCCTCCATCTCAGACACTGTTAGTGACAAAAGAATACGGCAGAAGCAAAAATTAACGACAAAATCCTCAGATACATGACAATTGCATTTCAGACAAAAACCAAAAATGGGGAGCAATGACAAAGACCCATCATCAAGTTGCAAGGATTATAACAGTAAGCGAGATATTCGACTTGGACAACCAATCTCTCGTCAACTGTTTCAGCATTCCTAATTAGCCTAAACCTCTATCGTTGCCATTGACACGAATAAGTATGCTAAATAGTCAGCAGCAAATCCAGTATCCTTTTGGAATCAATAGTGTGCCTCACCACTTCTTGACCCAAAAATGCCATATGGAACTAAAACCACAGACATCAGTTATGAAGTTCACAGAGAATCACCTTCCACTGGCTGAGTTTTTCGAGCATACAACAGATCATCGTAGACCCCAAGATATGTCTCGTCCAAGGAATCTGTCTTCCTCCCCCTACCATGGACACGAGGCTCGAGTTCCTACATCCGATACACAAAATAATCAAGCCCCGCACTTTAGGAGATACAAAAGGAGATGGGCGTATAGGATCCATCTACCTAACGGATAAGGACCTCATCAATCAAAATTCCACAGCATATTAAGCGCCCACTAATCTCGACCCAACAATTCTGAAAAGCGCAGCACCATTTCTCTATTCGGACAAAATCCAAACAACCAAAAACGACTTACCTCGATCTTAGACATGCCATCTCCGAGGAAGGCGCAGGCGCTCTTCACGTGCGCTATGTAGTACGTGTCGCACAACCCGCACCGGCTGGTCGAAACCATAAAAAAAAAAACACAAAAAATCAAAACCCGAAGAACGCGAGCTCATCGAAATCGTTCCTCGCATTCGAAACCGAGCCAAAGAAAAGAGCGCATCGAGCTCGGGTTCACCTGCAATGGTCTTTGGCGGGATAAGTGCCTCCCGGAGGGATGGGCCTGGACCGCTCCCGCCAGTCGGATCTCAGCTTCACCGGCGCCGAGCCGGACCTCGTCTCTGGAAGAGGGAACCGAGAATGACCGACGTCTCCCCCGCGCATCGTTCGGAGAGAAGAGAAAGTTTGGGAAGCTTGGAAGGAAGTAAGTACCTTTGGAGGAGGAGGAGGAGGAGGAGCGAACGGAGAGAGAAGGGGAGAGCCAGGAGAGAGCGGCGATCGCAGGAGACATCGCCGTCGCCGTCGCCGTCGCCGTCGCCGTCGCCGTCGCCGTCGCCGTCGTCGCCGTTCGAGCAAAGCAGTCGCTCCGGAGAAGCTCGACGAGAGAGAGAGAGAGAGAGAGAGAGAGCGCGCGCGAGAGCCACGAGCATAAGATATTTTCCTCTGCATGACGGTACGGTTAGCCTTTTTGAGCGGGGTAAGAGCAAAACGGATAGTGACACGTGGCACAAGACGGACCGATGGAATCGGGAACTGTCCGGACCGGATCGGGCCGGTTTTCCTGAAGCGTCGGTCCGGTTTCCGATTTCGAGGGAGACCGGATCGGTTTGTTGTTTTTATTTTATTTTATTTATAAATATAAACCTCATAATCCAAAATCTCCCCTTTTTTAAATTTTTTTATTTATAAAATGCACGGCAAATGCGATGCCAGGCGTGTATATGGGTAAAGTTTTGAACTTTTATTCTCTTTTTCTTTTTGGGTGCAGATGCTTCGGAGAATGGAAATGCAGGCGGATCCAAAGTTCATGTGCTCTCGTCATTATCTGAGGTAAAACCCGTCATCGTATTTACCTTGATCCTGGTTGTCGACGCTTGATCTTACTGGACCGATTTCACCGGATCGCTCGGGAATCGGACTGGACCGGGAACCGATCATCCCTAATAAATAGTTCATGAATTTTGATCTAATGTGCAATGTCGTCTTTGAACTTTTAATTTGTTCAATACGATCTCTAAACTTTTGGTATATATTCAATTTAGTTTCTGGACTATTTGAAAATGCTCGATGTTATTTTTTCATTGATTCGAGTTCATGTTATATAGTTCAGATACTATATGGAACATGCATCAAAATTTTAATGACCACATCGAACAAATTGAAAGTTCAAGGACTACATTATACTTTGAGTTAAAGTTCAAAGACCACATTGAAAAAATTTAAAGTTTATGGATCACAATGCATATTTAACCAAAATTCAATTATCATTTGTGTCATTTTCCTAAAGTAAAATAAATGGGATGATATTTTAGCGTCGATGCAATTGACACAAATCTACGTTAAGGATCCATTTATTTCAAGAAGAAAATGATTTAATAAAATATTTTTTTAAATTATTGACAATAATTTATATCTAAATACTTTTGCAAACGATAAAATTATTCTTCGTTTAATCATAAATGATATAATTTATTATTTTTAGTAAATATTTTTATATCATTTATTTTCCGCGAAACAAAATTTAAATCTCTCTTCTACTTCCAAACCAAATTATAATAAATTATCCAAAGCCAGAGTGACTTATGATGTTATTAACATTGATACTTTCTGTATCTTATGTACTAGATTCCGATTTTCCATGTAAGAGGACGCAATAATATTAGGGGTGAGCATGATGGACCGCCCGAACCGGGACCGGACCGGACTGGCCGGTTTGGTCCGGTTCTCGAGAGTATCGATCTGGTTCCCGGTTCCTAAAAGTGGAACCGGTTTCTGGGCGGTCCAGTTCTCGGTTCTAGGGTGGAAACCGGACCGGACCGATAAATATATATATTTACTTTTTAAATTTTTTGAAGAAAAAAAGAAAGCTTAATCTATTCCCTCTTGCCTTTACCAATTTTTTTAAGGATTGGTTCCATTGGTTCCATTGGAAAATGGAATTGGTTCCATTGGAACGTGATTGGTTCCATTTAAAAATAGAAAAATAAATATATTTATTTATTTAAAATAGAAAACCTAATTTAAAAGTACGTGGTCGGTTCCATTGGAACCGGACCGGACCAATGGTCCAGTCCTCGGTCCTAGAAAATGGGAACCGGTCCTACCGGTCCGGTTCCCGGTTCTTGGGTGGGACCGGACCGGACCGGGAACCGCTCACCCCTACGCAATATACGGGTCATTCGTTTCTACTCCCCTACTCAACTACGCTGCCACGGCGCTGCCGTCGACCACCTTCGCCCTAGACACCAACCTCAGGCGACCATGGCGTGGTGGTTGCTTAAAGAGTTCCCTCTCTCAATCGCACGCAATTATCGGGTAGATCTTAGCATGTCCAACCACGTGCAATCGAGCACTGCTCAATGATCACATTTTTCAGGCGACCATGAGACGGTTCTCGCCAAAGAGTTTCCCTTTCTCAACGTCAGACCATCGTCATCGTGCTCCGGCAACCAGCCAGCAATGACCACCATGGTTAGGTCAACTCCCGTCGCGGTGGTCGCCAAGCATAGAGGTTGCCGTCGGAAATGCAACCCCCACGGGCAGTCGGTTATTTGGGTCCACCGTAAACAGAAGGTTTTTCTCCCTTACGTTCCAAACATTTTACTGTTTATTCAACCCTAATATTGGTCATGTCTAAATCACCTACCAAACAAGATATATGATATAAAAAATCCCCGCATATTTCTATTACTGTTTTATCATATATCAGACCAAATGCAGCGAGCAAAATGATTTTTGCAGGATAATGTGTCAAATTTCCTCGTGGAAAAACCTGGAAACTATGCAGGTTTCTCTTTAACTAAGTTGATAAACGGTAAAGGATCGATCATGCACCGGCGATTGCTCTTGCAAGACATAACAAGAAAAGTACAATAAAAGAGAGATATCTGCAGATCTCCGGCAAACTTCATATCTCATTTCCTGAAATTTTGACCCCAAAGCTATACAACCCACATGTCGCAAAAATGGGCTGCAGACTATTATAAGACAACAGAATTGATACATTATTCCCAGTTTTGACTCTATATCCCCATTCAATGTTTCCATGCCCAATGCTTTCTCCCACCAAAATTTTGATATCCCAACAGAGCACAAAGAAAGAATTTCTCTCTTGACCTATGCCCAAAAGAAAAAACAAATTAAATGAAAACCGAATTGGCCTAGCTATTTGGAAGGCCTTTTGCTCACCATAAAGAATGGATTGTATTAACGACTCGGATATACAGAAAACGGCCTGCGATGAATTGCCAAAAGAGAGACGCTGCTCGGGTTCCTACAGTTTCGTCATCAAAGGGATCCTCGCATCCAGTTATCAAAGGAGCTTGCTGGTTCTTCTTCTTGAAGGCCCCCCAGGGAAAAGCTTCATTATCCATCCCAACACCCTCTCGACCACCTAGAAAGCAAAATAGAGGTTAGCTCAGCAGATATCTCGCAATCGTTCTAAATCCTGAGAATAAATACTAAAACCTATCCACCTTCTTTCGTCTCTCTCTCTCTCTCTCTCTCTCTCTCTCTGTTTTTAGTGCAGAAAAAGTCTATCCACCTACTTCCCACAGCACTCCATTTCTCATGTCAAAAGTTTAGAACCCTTAAGAGAGAGTTTCAAGCACTTAACTTGCAAGGAAAGTCCAATTAAATTATTTGAAGAGGCTAGACATAGAAATATTCGGTGAACCTAATAGTCCTAGAACCGAAGGAAATATTAGAAGACACATAAGAAGGAATGAAGACTTATAGTTCAGATTATACAAAACAGGAATTGTTTTTTTAAGTATAACCAATTGAATAACATTATAATCTAAATAAAAATCTCCGAAAGAGGAATACATCAAAAATCAAATTTTGAAGACTAAAAACCAACTTGCTAGAAAGTGACAATTTTTATTAACCTGGACAAGACCAGAAGGAAATTAGATGAGGATGTCAAAGGCAAACGGGATGTTTATCTTGAATAGGCAGGATATCATTTGGAATTTCTCTTATTTTAGTGCCAATAATTACAAGTGACGACCCACAAAGGTGTCCATATCAGCATGGGCACACATGCTCACAGAAATGCACACAAAAACAGGTATACCAACCCTGCACCCACACCCACGTGCACACGCTTCACACCCACACCCACGTGTGCACGCTTCACACGCACGCACGCACGCACGCACACATGCACATGCACACACGCAGGCACGCACGCAGGCACGCACGCGCACACACGCACGCACGCACACACACGGAGTACCTCATCGCCCTCATCTGCATATGCAGTATTCTCTTGCATATTGTGAAAATCAGGTAGTTTGGTTGATGGCAGGTTGTCATGGACCATGCTCTGAGCAGTCAAAAGTTCTAATCTCTGAGTCTGGATTTCGAGTTTGCGAGATAACTCTTCATTCAAGGCCTTCAGTCACACAAGATAAAAAAAAAAAGAATTAGAATTTAATTTTCAATATGGGGGACACATGAGACATCATATTCCATGAGGAAAAAAGTTCAACTCATCTGGTTGAAAAAGATGAAGTGCCATGTCATAAAAAAAAAACTAATGATTGTGAGCACGACTTTGTAACAGAAAGATGCAGCATAATAGGGCATGTAATTACGCATGCACCATCTAAATTCTCAACATACTAGATTCTGAAGTTGCAAAACTTCATTATTAGGTTGAACAAACAAAGACACAGAGTCCATCAATGGATATCTATTCGAGGTCAAACCTTTAAAAACTATATCAAATAACAAGTGAAGTCTTATTGACAGAACTAGTGCATTCCTTCACATGGGCACTAAGCCTTCCAAGTAGAGGAAGAGAATGAGCGACTGCTGACCCAGGAGAACCTGGAAACTCTGCAGTAAGATTGTTATCAAGACAAACTGAAGTGGGATTACAGATGATACAAGTCAGACAAAACTACCTTAAGTTTGGTATTTTCAGATGTTTCAGACGCCAATGCCTTCAGTAACTCTTCTTTCTCTAATGCTAACTGCAAAGAGCAATATCACATTAATAACCCACAGTTACCAGATACCAACAACTCACGAGAGCCAAGAGGTGTAAGTGAAAATCCTGAACAAAAGACTAAGTCAAGGGCAAGAAACCTGGAAGTTGACAATAAGGACTTGAGAAGTTTATACCTCTGATATTACTGTATTGATGTTTACGATCATTCTCATCTGATCAGCAGGTATATATACAGACGAAGCTTCGATATTTAACTGAACATCTTCAGACAACAGGGAACTAGATGTATCAAAGCCAGAGAGAGACCTGTCATGTTCTGTATGCTGGATGGGACTTTCTGAGATAACATCTGCATTTACAACAAATTCAATAGAATGTGGACGAATTCAGTAATATTTAAGGCTAAACTCTACATAGAGCAATTCGAAATTATTTGATTCCATGTACATCGACAACCTTTTCATGATGAAACCAACGTGGGAGAGGGGCCAGAATGCATAGTCAAAGTGGACAACTCAACTCTCTCGCTCGCGAGCGTACCAGACATAGAAAATCAGTTGTCTCTCCTCCCCCGGAAAGAAATAGTTATATATGGACATTTAATAGTAGCATAAGAAATCAGAGGACCACCCTCACCAAGGTCATCGGTTGAGGTGGATATATCTTTTCTACTGGCAACGCTCTTGCTTAAATCACCAGAAACCCTACCAGCTGCAGCTTTCCGTAACTTTGACTGCAAAAGCTTCTTTTCTGTACCAAACATAATGGATATTAGCAGAAAGATGACGAATGCACAATTAACAGGCAGATCAGGTACAACTGTTAGATCCATTAGAACTCTTTTACGTTGCCTACATTATAATAAACGCAGGAAATTAGGAACTACTTGGAGAAAAAACCACCGCCTAAAAATCAAGCACAATGAGCTTCAGGCTTTTTGCTCTAGATTTATTTCACGTTCGAGGATCCCCTTGGCCTCTTCCATGTGTTGTTCTTATTCTGGTTTAGACGTGAGAAGACGTGTGCATACCGTTTGTCTATGAGATTTCAATGCGTGTTATATTCATGTAGCCTCACTGAACTTATTGGCTTAACCTTTAGGGTACCTTTTAACAACTAAAAATTTAGAAATGTACCCACATCACCCCCATGCCACGATAAAACTTCTTATTCCTATAAGTACCAACATTGATTAGTCTTCCTTTTAATGCGTTTTTACTCATTACACAAGCTTCTGGTTTACTTATAAGTGGGCCACTATTACGGTCCAGCGTGAGTTCCAAAATTTCGTCATGTACCTGTAAATCGCTTTCCCAAGTAAGTGGAAGATTCATCTTTCATATACCATCAGGAATAAGAACAACAGAATCCAGCATGAAAGCAAAATTGTATTCAAAAATTATATATTGGAAGAAAAGATATATTTCCATTTAGGTTCTAAAGGAAGTTTAGGCATAGTAATTATTCTAACTGAAAATAATACGTTTTCTTATTTGAAGCTGTAAATTGTTGTTGATGAGGTTGACTTGACCAAAGGGAGTATATCCATCTTGAATCCCCCGATATTTTTTTTTTTTTGATCAATTGTCTTCTTGATAGAGGATGTTAGGATGCTAATATAAATAAAAAACTAATATTATTACATAAACACATCAAATAGACTGACACATAGTCAACACATACCTTCTTGAAGAGCACTAACGGTGGACTGGAGGTCCTGACGATCTTTTTCTAGGCTAGATACTTTCTTTCTGCATCGCATTAATAACAGCTACAGTCAAAATAATCAATCATTATTAAGATAATGCATGCAGATATCAACTCCAATAAATAGCATATATCTTCCCTCAAATCAACCCAAGAAAGAGATAAAACATTTTCGAGCATCTCCTGTTTCTCACAGGAGAACTAATAATTGCTATGCACAGAGCTCTCATCAAGTTGGTCCAACCATGAGTCTTCCTGCTGATATTTGATTGCATAATCAGCAATTATGACCATTAGAATTGGCATTCTTTTCAGAAAGACGCACACTACAACATTTAAATTTTAAACGTCTTCGTATAACAATTTAAGCTTTCAGAACAGTTGAAAGCCCCGCAAAATTTAAAATAGCACAAAGCAAGAGGTCATGCGTTCACAACTTTTGAAGCCCCTTATTTTCCTCTCTATAGTTATTTCACACACTTCAATCTTAGTCCAAACCTATGCCTGAAGGGGAGTATTGCAACATTTAAATATTTAATACGCCTTCATATATTAGCTTAAAATTTAATAACAATTTAACCGTGACCTCTCAGAAAATTTTACAAAACCCATTCTGCCTTGACAACTTGACAACTCCTACAAGAATATCTCAACACCATGACCCCTCTAGCATAACTAAGCTTTCTTCAAATGAAATATATCCTAAAAATCTCGTGATAAGTCAGTTTTTCTGTGTTATTTTTAAACCATACACCATAACCCGAAGATAAGAAATTAGCAAAACAGTACAACACTGCGGTCATCAATTAAATCATCAGGTTATTTTTGAGTGACTCAAATGATGGAATTGCAGCCAACAGAGAGAACTATATTACAGAATTAGAGAGAACTCCACCATCAATGAAAATGCAATCATAAAGTATTCACTAATCAGCTTATGGACCACCATCCTTTGCAGGACATCCCCATGGTTGACTTAAAAAGAAGCTGGCAGTTAGCTAACCCCATGAATAGCTTCAAATTATCTCTCTCTCCTGCTCTCCCTCCCTCCCTCCCTCCCTCCCTCCCTCTCTCAGAACATGCACTGGAAATGTCAATTTGATAGCTCATAAACATTTTAAATGATAGCCAGAGTTACGCGCATAAGACTTGATAGAAAAATGTTCACCTCGTCCGGCAACAATTGCAGACATTTTTAAAGTACACTTCTTAGAATGAGGAAAAGCTTAAAAAAAAAATTCTCGCAGGACAAATCAGCAATTCAAGCATGCAGATGTAATAAAAAAAATTGCCGTTGTGTGCATGAAAGTGATGCATACTTGTAGGTAGAAATTTCTGCTTGTAAATTTTCCAATTGCCTTTCCAGCTTTAACTCACTGGACCTCAACCTGAGAGCCTACAATCAATTAAGAAATATATTCATTGAGGGGTAACCAAACATACGGAAAGGCATGTACATTCGACAAGAAACTGTCATTCACATGATAAGAAAATGCAATTCAATCTAATTATCAACTATGTATCATATCATTAACACAAATACCGACACAACACATTAAAATTTTCATCGATTCAGAGGGGGGAAAAAAGATGGCCCACTTAGATCAAAATTTGCTAAGTACGCCTGAATTACCTGAAATATTAATGTAGCAAGCAAAATCACTATAAGGTCCTGACAGCAAGTACACCCAAATCACCAGACAAAATGGGGTTCATTTTTTTGGGCAAAAAAATGAAGGCAACTTTGCAAACCCTAAACAATGACGAAGATATATCATAAAAGATTAGGAAAAAAATAGGTCTACTAGTGAAAAGAAAACCACTCTTCTCAACTGCTATATTTTACACTTCCTTTCGGATACATGCTTTAAGTAAAATATAAATCCTCCAAATGTCTCGTGGCTTATCTTATCGAAGGTAAAAAAATAATTAAGCTCATACTAGACACTTCTGTAACCAAATAACGATTGGGAGGAAATTTGCTTCCACTGCAAGCATCTTACCTTCTCTTCTAAGCCAATAACTTCGGAAGCCAATAGTTTGGCCCGTTCATCAGCTGCATTACATTCTAATTGTGCATTGGTATATTCATGTTTGATAGCCTCAAGCTCCACCTAGCAAATGCATGAAGAGAAGTTGCTCGTGAATCAGCCATAACATTGGAAATATTAGCAGAGAATTATGCAACGAAACTGCCTGGACTACAGATAGTTGGGCAACCATATAAAAACAGTAAGTGAGTAAATAAACACAGCAAGAAAAAAAAAAAATGAGTTCAGAGTCATGGAATTTCTAAGAGTCTACGAGTTATATGCCAGTAATAGTACTCTTTACCGGTCCTTCAAAAAGTAATCCAACGTGCTGAGATGAGAATATATGCATTCAGGGAAAAGGAGTCTTAAATTTATTGTTATTTATTTTGACTAGTTCAAAATCTAACACCTTTGGTTAGTGGAAGAGTTGTAAATGCTTTCTTTGGTAAATGAGCTCTTCTTTGAGCTCCTTTTTTAATTATATGAGTATCACCCCTTTGGTGCTCTACAGTGAACTTTCCCTTGCCAATGTAAAAATACTTATCTCAAACAATATAACAGTCAAAACCACAATGTTCACTTGATATGACTATCATCAGTAAACCATTCAGAAATGTAACTGAGGACAATGATAAATAGTTACTTCACTGAGGACTTCCTCGCTGAAATAACAGGTCATTAGCTGAACCATTTCTAAAGTGAAATGTAAGTCGGGTATATACATAATTGCATGTTGCACCATATCTGCAACACATAGGTTTTTGTCACCACTCTTGATTACCATTGACAAACCCTACAGTCAAAGAAAATCCTGTTGGAGGCATGTATCTCGTCCTAAAGTCCATATTTGACCCAACAAGTTATCAAAAGTCCAGTTATAGCTCACTCTGGCTCAAGATACCTTCACCAAAAAAAACTGCAGGATGTCAGCAACACTCGCAAGTGCATGTTTTTAAGGTTGACTTGCAAGATCGCTGGCATTTTAAATCACATGCATATACATATCCACAAGAATTTTTTAGAAACATAGATTATACATGTCTGACAAGTTATGCGACAGGAGTTGATGTATTGAGATAGAGAGATAGCCTCCTTTGCATGATTAAGTTACAGAGAAGTGCTGTTCATGTGAATCCTTACAAACTGTTTCATGGATTAGAAATGACGCCGATATCCATTTCTTTTATGCTCTTCTCAGTTTTTCTATTAGCTCACTGTGGGCCTATACTGAATCAATGAGATTCGTCATCTCCTATCAAGGTAACACATCAAACCAAATCGCCTTCAACAGCATTCCTATCTACGTTATGGATGAAATCAAATCAACATCAGGCATCACATGTACATGCAATTAATGCATGATAAAAGTCAAACAACCAGCAAACTTTTGAATCATGGCATTGTGTAAGTGTAGAAGTACATAACTTTACAGAAACTTAAATTACGCAAAAGAAATACTAATGACAGATTTTTTGTAACAGCAAACAAATGACAAAAATACGGGTCCCTACCAGTCGTGCATTAATCTCCTCCTGTAACTGTTCCATATCAGCTTTTAGTTGGTTGACAACACTTCTCTGCAATACAAGAAAGAACACAAAATAACAAATAAATCAAACTCACCATAATTTAAAACATCAAGCATCATGTTTTAAGAAGGAGAAAAATGAAACAGTTCCTCGAATGTGACACCTTGTAGATTAGCTAGTAGAGCACCAGACAATTAGCACTCAATTAAGCAGTCATCACAATTATACAACCAAGCATTTAATAAGAACTCTCAGCTTAATACCCTAACAAATCAGTACATGTTTTTTTGGTAAGGTACAAATCAGTACATGTTTAACTCTACTTTCCCACACAAATTAGGAAATGTACTAAGCAACTATAAAGAAGCAAAGGGCTTGCGATTTAAATTTGTTATTTTCCATTCGCCAGAAAGGCCAAGTGCCTTTGTCACCAAGCTAATCTTCATTTTCATATCAGTTGATTTTTTCACATATACATCATTCGTGTAGCAAACCAAGATGTCCATGAATGTAAAAATGTATCTTCATTATTTTATCCTACACCTATTTGGCATGGTGTAAGCAAAGAGCATCGTCGAGATCCTAAACTTTAGCAAATCCAAGAGATAGATCTTTAAGTCGTAACTAATTCTATCACCCCCCCCCCCCCCCCCTCGCTTTCCTTTTTTCTCTTCCTTTCACACTTAAAGAGACCAAAGGAAAATAAAATGAGATTACTTAATACATCTTTAACACTTGTCTCTTCCCGTTGCAATAAAATCCTAACATTCCATAGGCCAACTATCAACATCAGAAAAAAATAAATATTGCAGAAAATAGTAAACTACCAAGAAATAACCAAACAAGAAGACACATAAGCATCAAAGTGGTAAGAATTGATATATTTATCACTGCTGTTTAACAGAACCTGTTGGTTGTAACTGTCTGTCAAAGAAGAATTGTCGGCTGCTAAGGACTCCGCCAAAGCCCTTGAAGCCTCGAGAGCTCGTTGCAAGGAAAATTTTTCTTGTGTCAAATCTTCAATATGCTGCATTGAATAGGTAAAAGGTATCACATTAATTAAATTCAAATAAGTATTTATCCTAACAAAAGAAAAAATGAACTTTTCCAATCACTTGTTACATTCCATGGTTTTGCTTCTTCATGCAAAAGCCTGACGTCTGAAAACTCTATCCTTCCTTCACTCTATTCAAAAGCAGATATCCTCAACTATATAAATTAAGAAATTTTGACACATTCTTTCAATTCTTCTTTCTAAATTTTTTATAGGCAGAAATAATGAAAACATAACCTAGTCAAGAGAAATGCCACCTTAAAAAGTCTAGGCATGCAACTTGACAGGTTAACCGTTAACATATTGTCAAGTTCTCACAAGCAATATCTTAGTCCAGGTTCATGCCATTTTTTGTTTTTTGCTGAAGTTTGTCAACATGAAGTGACCCAGTATGTGATACCAAAAACACATTAAAAAATGCAGAAAGAAATGATATTGACACCTGTTCTGAATTATGTGAGTAAATAGGAAGACAAAGGTACAGGAAGATAAATAAACATTGATAAACAACAAAGTACCAGAAAATTAGATAATAAATAAAACAAGCAACAAGCCACCTGACACAAAGTCAAGTAACCCGAAGCAGCAGTCACTACATCACCAGATTCATACTATCTTCACAACCTAAAACCATCCATCATCTTGCAAAAATTGCAACTAGTCCAAGGCTCAAGATGATTCATATCAATAAAACCTTACAAAGATGTAAGACAAAAGTACATACAAAAGAAATGTGGCAATACTGTGAAGTAATTCCCCAGATCTCTCTTACAGAACATATACAAAACACCAGATTATAAGGTGTGCATATGCCAGATGATCAAGGGAGTTCAATTTAAGACTAAGTTCAGTTTAAAACTCACGGCTCTTATAGGACATAATATGCCAATGCAATGATTTTAGTCTTGACACAAGTATCTACCTTATGCTAGAGCTGGACCAATATTTTAATGACCTTTTATCCCTTTTCACCCTCTCTCTAGTAGCATCCTAGTAGTTTCTCCATCCAACCCCCCCGCCCCCCGCCCCTTCTCTCTCCCCAGGATAATATATAAAATAGAGGGGGGGTTTACCATGCTTCATCGCATTAAGCTCCTACCCTTAAATTTATTTAGACTTGTGAATTATAATCCTATAAAGAAGTGATCATAACTTAAATTAGATTGAAATTAAGTATTTAGTAAGTGTTTCGATAATCATTTCCGGGTGACACAAACCCATGTGAAAAAGCAAACACACAGCATAATAAGATGGGGAATGATATTGGACGATCAAATGGCTGATGATCAAGGGAGTTCTGTTAAAACTATGTTCTATGGTTTTAACATTTGAAGTTATACATCATCTATAAACATACATATTACACCTCCAGCAATAGATTCTCATTATTCCTAACTAGAGACGCATAAGTAAAATTTTAACAGTAAACTAGCACTGGTATGAAAAATTCACAGATAGTCTGCTGAAAAATACACACCGCAATATGAATTATATTCAACATATGGTCAGCAACAAGCAAATAGTGAAACCGAATAGGACAAATAATAGAGGTGAATTGTACTTCTTAAGATACTGACACGCCTTGGAGAGGATTTATCTATCAAACAATTTTCTTAATTCGTGGCACATAAAATATTAAAAATAGACAAGAAATGGGAAACCAAAACATGCTTTGTCAACATCTATTAGTTATTGGGACAAGGACAAGTCATCATCTTCTTTGAAACAACTGCTAAATGCCTTTTTTTCTAGAATTGAGAACATAACACAAGGAAACTTTCTTTTTGTAACAAAAAAGAGAAAACCAAACATAAACCATTAGAGTACATTAAACCTAAGGACCACGAGAGTTTAGACATTGATTCATATCAATTTGGGATGCCTGATCGCCAAAATGTTGTCAAACAAGTGATCAAAACTTAGCTACAATCAGTTTGGTTGTTCACATTTCCGCACCTCAGATGGGAACTGAATCATGGAATCCAACAAATTTGAGCAATCTAAAACATTACCTGTTCCAATGCAGCAAAATCTTCATTCTGTTTAGAGGTATAAAACTCGGGCTTGCTCTCGATGCTTTGCTCACCAGTACGGCTTTCTAAATTAAATGCAAAAGGTGAAGAACTAATGGAATGCATCGGTACATCAGGTCCAGGCGATGTTCTCGGTTTGGAGAAAGGCCCTACATTCCCATCATTTGTATGACGGAAAGGGTTTGAATTTCCAGCATCAATACTGCCAAAATTTAAGCTATTTCTCATGACAGGCTCCTCCGGTTCAACGCTTTTGGAAGGAAGTGATGGTGAAGATCTAGTTACATTAAGAGAATCAAGAAAGGACGGGCGCGATCTTTGTGGATGTGATTCACTAACTGTCGAATATAGAGAAAAAGTGTTTGAGGAACTATTTAAATCCGAATTGAAATCAGATGAAGAATGGCCAGATATCTGAGAAGTTGCACTTTGTGTACTAGGCAACTCGTTGAAGATGCTACCAAGTTTCCTTTCTTGAAAATCAGATGCCTTAGAACCAGTGAAGCGTGCCGTATCAAACACTCTCAACCCACTCCCAGCAGGAGACCATTTCGTGTTGGTAGCTGGTTGCACAGAGTCTGTGAGACGAAAGTACAAAACAGTGTCGGATTTTTTTCTCGTGATGTATGCATGACAATTCAAAGTGCCTATCAGTAACATTCAAATATAAAACAACAGAAAGAGAATACCTTCATTGTATATTGAACTTGTGTGTGCAGCAGGCAATATGTTGGCATTACTGGGATTATTTGGTGAAACAAAGCTGCCTGAATTCTGGGGAGAGCTATTTGCTACAACAGAAGAACCAGGATTTGCAAATAAAAATTCATTTGAGCTCCCACTATTTTCTTTCATCAGGGATTCTTCCTTCCCATGGAAACTAGAGCGGCCAGAACTGCGACCAATCTCCTGACTGGCTTGTGTGAATAAAGCATCAGACTGGTCAGATGTAAACCCAGAAGTTGCAGCATACATTCCATAATCACTTTTCATGTGATTATTCTCTTGGCCGTAGTTATAGCCAATCGGTCCATTAGACGCCAAGCCTCCATAGCCCTCACGTTCTTGGTATTCTCCCATTGTTTGTGCTGGATAGTTAGAGAATGCATCATTTACACCCACCGAAAACTCCGGTAAGGAATGAACGTCGCTGACAGAACTTTCCCTGCTTCTCTGGGAAAACTGAAATGGTTTTACATCATCGTTATTCTCTGCAGCAAAAGGTTGATTATCGACTCCACCAGGTATATTAGACGATCTGACAGCGTCAGAATCTGCAAGTCGCACAACTTCAGCATCTAGTGATTTTTTCTCATTAGGGCCACCATCAGAAGCATTAATTTGGTTACTAGCGGCCTTTTTCGCTCGATCTGCAGCCTTTTTCTTGCGGAATTCTTCTAGCTGAGAAAGTTAAGTTCACATTAAAAAACATTCATGCTTGAAATTAAAACACAGTAAGTGCAATAAGTTCAAAACATGTCATTTAGTACCGAGAGATGTTCCAGAAAGTCCGTGACGTCTACAAAAAACCTCAGAGAGAAAAACTTCTTTCCGGGATCTTGTTTATCATCCCGAAAAAAAGAAAAGAATTCTCTTGGTAAGACCACCCTTATGAAACCTCTTTTTCCTACCCTAGGTTGCTAAAAAGTCAGAACATCCAAAAATGCCTCTTGTGGGGGAATACATAAATTCCAGTCAAGTCAAACAAGTGAAAGCGTTTACTATAAACAAACGAGGCTGCAAAATCAGCTATCATTAAGTTGCCCAGCAAAACATATGAAGGAAGAAGGCAAAAGGGATGCATGAAGAAACCATTTTTTTCCCTCTTTGCTGCAGAATGGCTTCAAAAAATCCTTCGGGTCAAAGAATTCAGCAGGAACAACACTCTCTCACTCTAAAGTCTAATCAGCCAAATCGGCAAGGCACGGATCAATGATTCAAACAGCCACACTTTGCGAAACAAGATCGAAAAATCACCGCATCCTCGCGCAATCACAGAGATGCAAACGTTCAAGAAAGGCACAGCAACCCCAAAAATCGGAACAAAAAGATCGGAAATTCCCGAAGAAATCCGCGTCCCCAAAAAATTTACCCGGCGCTTGCCAGCTTCCAGATGCTCCTGCTTCCGCGAGCTCGGCAGTACCTGGGCAGAGGCCATCCGAAACCGACGAATCCGCGAACCCTAACGAGGCACATTCAAAACCACCAACCCCCCAATCCCCATTCCCCCCTCAGACCGCCGCCCCCAGCACCGCCGCAGCCTCACCGAACCGAAAGCTCCGCAAAAACCGCTCCTCAGCGGCTCCGGCAACCGCGCCCGCCAACCAATCGCGACGAAGCCGAGATCGACGGGACCCGAACGGGGCATGCACCAGAAACGGCGGAATCTCTGAGATTACCGGAAGACGATGAACAATTCGAAATCGGATCGAACGAGAGAAATTGGAAGAAGAAGAAGAAGAAGAAGAAGGAGAAGCCTAGAATTCAGGGGAAGAAGTGGCTTCCGATCTGGTGGGGAGAGAATCGCCGTCGTCGGAGGAGGGAGGAATTGCGAAATTCGAGAGTTGCAATTGCAGATCTCCCTCTTCTTGTTCTTCCTTTCTTTTTTCTTTTCTTTTTTTTTTCGGGTTTTTTTTTTTTTGCTTTCTTTTCGATTTTTTTTTCCTTTTTTTGTGGGGGCATTGATTGTAATCATACGATGAGTATACGGTACGGTATACCACGCGACGACATCAACCGGTGGTTAAGTTTGGTAACTGTACCGGCCGTTTGAAATCTGCCTTTCTGGGTAAGGAATTGAATTCGCTTTTTTTATTTAGGAAGAAATGGCAGCAAATGATTGCTAAACTTTTTCTCGATGAACTTTTGATTTTTCAAGGATTAGATAATCCGAGGACAAGATTGTTAAAATTCAATGAGCGGATTGAATATTTACTAAAAGGTTAAAGACCACATTGAACGAATTAAAAGTTCATAGAATACATTGTACGTTTAGGCTAAAGTTCAGGAACTACGCTGAACAAATTGAAAGTCCGGGGATTACATTGCATATTGACCGAAAGTTCGGGAGATATTTTGTGTAATTATCCCTTTTATTTATCTCTATTTTTATATGTTTTTTTCTTGAATTTATGAATTAGACCTAAGTTCTTGCATAAACATTACAACTCACCCTAAATCTTAATGGCCTATGCCGAAATTGGCGAAATCCGCCACATCACGCCATACGTATGGCAATTCTCATATAACAAGGTGTGAATTCCTACCATGGATATGTAGTTTTCATTTCGATGATTTACTTTAATCTTTTCGTGAGAATGTCACCAAAAGTCAAAATTCGAAAGGCGAGATCAATTTTTTTCGAGCCAATTGAGGGGCAAAAATGATAAATGTCTTGCACCAAAAAACATGGTTGGAATAATTGTATTGTATTGCAGCCTTTTTTTTTTCTTTTTTTGGCTAAAAATATTGCGGGCTATAACTTAGAAATGATCATCCGAGTACTATAGGACAACTCCGTCAAGTTTTCATGGTGGAGTAAGGCAATTCAAGCGATGGAAGACGAAACTCCGAATACTACATATGACCTCCGAAGTGAGACGGCGAGAGATGAGCTTCATCGAGAGAGAGAGAGAGAAACGGCCCGGATTATAGTGGTGATCGGTTCTAGGGTGGGTTGGGTCCGGACCTAGATCCTGAAACCAATCTTGTTATAACCGGTTCTCAATTTTTGGAACCTGAAACCAACCCTATTTTTCCTAGACCCTGTTTTGGAACCAACCCTGTTTTTCCGGTCCGGTTTCAGGGTTTACTCGAGAACCTATTTTTTTTTTGTTCCTTTTTTCGGTATCATTTTTTTCTAGCAAAATAATATAGGTAGCAATGAAACAATTTAAAATAAAATATGAATAACAAAAATCACTATCCGCCAAAAGTAACAATCCCCAAAATGAGCAATTGAAATTACAATCCATCAAAATCAACAATCCAAAAGCACTATGTGGCAAGACATAGTCCAATCGCATAAATCTTTAAGAGTTACATTTCCAAGGAATTTATTCAACATGTTTAGCTCTTTATTTTGCGCCATGATGAGATAACTCCTCACTTCTGTTTCCGAATGAAATATCTTGAAAGAAAAATCAAGAGACTTAGTGGTAAAGCATCTGCTCTCACTAGAAAAATGTCTATATATCTCATTTGAATCACACAATATTTAGATGACTTTAAGGGCTGTGCTGTTTCGCTCATAGTTGTGAAACATATTCCAATATTAAACCGGAAATCGGTTCTAAAACCGGTGAAGTAGGGTAACGTGATATAGGCTTTTTACTTTTTTGTACATTATCTCAAAACCGGTTCTAAAACCGGTTCTAAAACAGGTTTGAGTTGGTTTTTACTTGGAACCGGAAACCGAACCGGTTCTAACCGGTTCCCAAAAAATGGAACCGGTACCCGGACCGGTTCTTGTTAGAACCGGTTCCCGGACCTGTTTTTCGGGTGGGTTGGTCCGGTTTCCGGGTAAACCCGGTCCAGTTGCACACCCCTACCGGATTACCAGCTAAGGCCCCCCGAATGACTATTCAGTGATAGAAGAGGCGGGGTGCAGAGGCGGTCAGAGGTTTGAAAAACACATAGAACAATAGTGACTTACATGAACATAAGAATTAAGAAGTTAAGGTAAATAGTTGGGTGACTAACAACATAGAGCGAAAGTTTTTGTCTTTTACAAATAAGAAAGGGCTGTTAGTAGAAAAAAAAAATTTCAATCCGGTGCTACTAAGATTTCCAATTTTGTCAATGTAATCTTAAACACCCGCGCGAAATTCCAATTTGATCCTTCCGGCCAATCGCCGCCGAAAGTTACTGACGTGGCAATCCACAGATTGGCCAGAAGATGTACATTGAAATTTCATGTAGAGGTTTAGAATTACATTGGTAAAATTTGAAAATTTTGCGATTGAATTGACACCTGTATAATAATTTTAGGATTGATTAGGTAATTATCCCGTTGAAAAAATTGCCCCGGGGTATGCTAAAATCATTCTGAACTTGTAGATATATAAAGTGAATTGACGAGAAGACATGTAATTTGACAAGACAAATCACGACAAAGTGCATCACAAACACAATTTTAATGCATATTCCTACTGTTAAAGAAGAGCCAGTCAAAATTATTTTCATCGGGTTGAATTCGGGCCGAATATACAATGACCAAATTAACTGAACGAGTCCAACTTTAACCATCCAATTTTGACCATGTGAGAAATCACATGGACTTTTCTTTGATCGGCAATTGCAAAAATTTGACCTTTCTTCTCATACCTTTCAAGATTCCCACGTACATGAACTCTGAAAAGCGAGCAATTTGTTCCTGTATTTAAGGTCAATTCCATGCGTTAAGCCAAACACAACATAGCCTGTGAATTTGGAGCTCTTCCTCATCATCGATGGCGGCTGATCTGACGCTACATGGACTATGGTCGAGTCCCTTCACCCAGAGAGTCATCTGGGCTCTCCAATTGAAGGGTCTGAGCTACGGGTACGTGGCCGAAGATATCGTCTGCAGGAGCGAGTCGCTGGTGCGATACAATCCGGTTCACCAGAAGCTCCCCGTGCTCGTTCATAACGGAAAAGCGGTCGCAGAGTCCATGGTGATCGTCGAGTACATCGACGAGAGATGGGCGCAGAATCCGCTTCTTCCGCGAGATGCTCACGAGAGGGCCGTGGTCCGATTCTGGGCTAAGTTCATTGATGAGAAGGTAAAGATAGATATGATTGATGCTATGAACTTAGTCTTTCCATAAGAATCAGATCTTCAATTTTTGTGCTTTCTTTGACAAAATCCGCGCTATTCTCTTGTTGCAGTCTATACCCATGATGGATTTCTTTCGTAACGTCGGAGAAAACCAAGAAAAAGCCATGAACTTCACCTTGGACACCTTCAAAACAATAGAAGAGTACGGCCTGGGTGGAAACAAAAAGTTCTTCGGAGGCGAGGAGGTGTCGCTCGCGGACATCGCCTTGGGATGGATCATCCACACCTTGCCGGTCATGGAAGACATAGTAGGAGTGAAGTTTGTGAAGGCCGAAACATTCCCTCTTTTGCATGAATGGATGGAGAACTTTAAGCAAGTTTCAGTGATCAGGTCAAGCCTTCCAGAATATGAGAGAACCTTGGACTACTTCAGGGCAAAAAGAGAGATGTTCATCAAATTTAGCTGAAAAGCACTAACAAAGATCATAGCATTTTCTTTCTCATTTTCGTTTTTCATATATAAGATTGTATGGACTCTTGTACTTCTTGTTGCTTACGAACAAAGTCTTCAAATGACCCGAGAAAGGTAGCCGGTTTTTCTGTTAAAATGTTGGTTTTTGCACTGGTAAAAGGTACAACGAGGTCTGCTAGTATTGCTTAGACAAGCATTTGTAGATGTGAGAGAACAAGGTTAGGATTCATTTTCATCCAACTAAAGCCACAGCTACAGGCAACAGCTAAAGATTTTAGTACAGAATGTACAAATCCTAAATTACATTGGATAGAAGCTCTTCATCATTGTCATCATCACCGTCCTTTCCTGCGACTCTTCATACCTGCGCAGTCCGAACAATACCATTTTCCTTTCGGCACATCTTTCAGTCCGACGCAGCCATAATGGAACCACTCTATCTTGCACTATGAAAGAAGAAGAAAGCACATAAGATATTCCGAAGACCACAAGTCTTCCAGGTACTAGATAGTGGATATAACTAGCAGGAGGAAGCAAAACTGAAACATAATCAGAAGCTCGATGCCATACGTCGGGATTGTCGCACGCAACCATTTCCCCGAAGCTAACTTGGTTGCAAAAACAGTACGTGGGCTCATTAGGGTCTATGGGTATATCCAACTCCATACCGGGAGGATTTGTGGAAGCTGCATTAGTGGCTTCTGTTGCTGCTTGAGTAGCAAGGCGAGTCCTGTGCAAGTAAATGGCCATCATAAACAAGGTCACTTCTCATTGCTGACCATGCCTACCTAGCTCAGACATGTGCAGATGAAGATTTACCACAAACAATTTTCTCATAAAGAACTATCATGAAAGCTATTAAAACACTGCAATTAGTACAACAGATTCATCTGATAAAAAAAAAAGATTGATCTTCATGATGCTCAGAACAGTGTATTTCCATCTCGTTCCAATCTCAACTTTCATTAGTAGTTCCATCAGATGAATACAATATCAGGATTATGATGGCCTAAAACTCCCAGCCAATTTCCTCATTCAACGAGCATAGGAGACATAAAGGGCATCCTCCTGCAAAAGGCTCCGCATATGTGAGGTTCAGCAAAGGTATGTAGCCTTCGTGTTGCTTTTTGGCAACAGGCTGTCTCACACCTCAAATCCGTGACCTCCTGGTCACAAGTGAATAACCTTACCGTTGCACTTAGCTCACCCTCAAAGACTAGCATGGGAGACAACATAAGGAAACAAAGTTCCATTTCAACTCATTCAAGTGCTTAGGCCGCTTTACAAGGATGAGGTATAATGTACAAATAGTGTCAGTATGGCTGTATTGGGTGAGACAGACACCGAAGTCCATGGTAAAGCCTAAAATTTTAGCTTCAATTTATGCAAATTATGTTCTGACTTCATAGGGTTCAAGCGAACTGCCAATAATGATTAGTTCTTTGTGCATCCACCAACACCAATGCAAATCAATATGGGAGATACAGATCCTAACTAAGCATTTTCCATCAAATCTGTGCTTTTCACATTACTACTTAGTCCTCTTCATGCATAAGGCATTCCCTTTTCATATGAGGGGTTCTCCAACGCTGCATTCCCAGCACCATAACTATTCCAGCTGATAACTTCAATTCTCTCTCTCTCTCTCTCTCTCTCTCTCTCTCTCTCTCTCTCTCTCTCATCCCCCTGCCCTCCGGGGTAACCTCTTGTGGTTGCGAGTGCGCGTGTGCTTGTTACTGTGCATGCGTTGCAGGGGAGCAAGGAGCTTAATAGCAGTCATGAGACAGAAAATGACAGAGCATATACCCCACAACTTCCAGAGTCAACAAAAAAATATATATAGTAAAGAATGATACTTCTTGCGTCCTCCTCTACCGGATTCGCTGCCCCTGCCAGACTTCGCAGGAGCATCAACACTGGAACTAGATATCCCCTCTGGAGGAACACTCTCTTTATCTGCAGCCATCAGTAGGTGCATTAAAAAAATATTCAGTTCAAGACAAAAGCAACAAGCATATAGTTGAAAAAGTAGAAGCTTTCAGGTAAAAACCTTGGAAAATGTATTAATAGAAAAGGATGAAACAGGAGCAAGAGCAAATTAAAGTACCACGTCGGAGCTCCTCATTAAACTTTTTCAGATATTGATCCAACTGTTGTATGTGTGTATCTACCTGATTTGGGTTGAGCATATACATGGTTAGCAAGATTTCAAGGAACAAAAACTTAAAAGTCAGACAACTTCAAAGCCAGACAAAGGGCAATAATAAAATGACTAGATATGATGACTGTTTAGCCAATTAAAGATGTTCAATTTTGATAAAAGTTAAACAAATCACAATTAGTCTCCAATTTTTTTAAAAGACATCACAAAAATCAAATCCAACACGACACCATAAACTTGAAAACAAACTATTATAAGCAATAGGTATGCCATGAAGACAGCAATCCTTAGCCATGAAACTTTATGTGAATATGGACCTCTCCAAAGCATAATGTGGATATTATCAACATTTTTCCACTCATAGTTCAAGCTTGCTGCACTCTCTTCATTGCCATGCAGACGAGTTGAAATCTTGATTTGGATAAGTATATATGCAATGAAGGCAGCAACCCTTAGCCATGAGCTCTCTAGAGCACAATGTAACATTTGACTAAATTTCTGCTCATGGCTTATGCTTCTTCTTTTCTTCCGCCAATCTCATGGCTAATGCTTGATTGTCTCTTCATTGGCATGTGAAGAGATGACTCATGAATGAATTCCCTCTCCCAACCATGCAAATATTAGCATGTTTGTTCCGGCATGAGAGAAAATGCAGCCTTGATGTTTGCCATCCTATCAAGATACTAGTATCCGAATCATCAGTGCGTGTGCTTTGTCCTGTTACCTAATCAGCTTTGATATTCTCAGATCGTGAAGTGTTTATATCCAGAAAAATGCAAATATTACTGCTATGCAACAAAAGTACACATAACGAAGGAAGTAGGTAAAAATGAAATGAATAACTTGTATCTCTGGAAAAAAACTAAAATTAATAACTAAGAAACCTACTGGAAGCATGAACACCAAAAGTTATTCAAAAATACTCATTGCGCCAAATCAAAAGCAAAACGAGCAGCGTCATTTGAACAAACAAAGGCTAAAAACTGTTATATACCAAATCATACGCGTGGACAGCCAAAGCAACCTTCTCATCGGCAATCCTTATGCTATGTTTTTGCTCATCTAGCGCTTCATCTGAGAACGTGTTACCTGACTTACGTCCCTGCTTAATTTCCTCAATTTCTTGCTCACAACGTTGCTCATTCTGTCTTTTGAGGTCTGATCATATTCAGAAAAGAAAAGGAGAAGGTCACATAATACCTCACAAAAACCATAAAAGCTGACAATTAAACTATCTCTTTCGTGCGATGACATAAGCCCCTAGTCCTAAAGATTGTGTACAACGAAAATGGATGTGTCAAGTGTATTCCAAATAAAAATGACACTCTATAATTCGTCAACAAAATAACATCAGAGACATAAGGATAAAGAAAGCCCTTCGATGCCTCATTTGAAGTTTCTCATTTCCACTTATTTCAGCTGCCGCCAATAGCTGATGACAGTAACAACTCCATTGCATTTTCCCAACGGTCTTTCCGATGATTCAAAGTTTAAGCTTTGACCCCGACAACCACAACAGCCGCTTAGGCTTCCTTTGTTTTGCGGAAAATGAGCCATCTGGAAAACATTTTCCTAAAAACGATCGCTCGTATCGCTTACAAAAATGAATGAACAAGGAAATACTTAGACATAAAATTGTTGTCAATAATGAAAACACTTCCAATTCACTAATCATCTCAAGCAATATAAGCGATCATTTTTTAACCTTAGATTTGATGGTTCTCTCATTAGAAGACCTCCACAAGAAACCCAACAATCCTACCTGCCACAACAATCAAAATAGAACGCGACCGAGCAAATGATGATTGACCGTACCCTCTAAACTCTTGTCGAGATCACGCAACAGCGCGTACTTCTTCTGCAGTATGTTAGGCAACGCCTCGAGGTCTGCTGCACAAGAAAAAGGGGGGCCGTTCGATTTAGTCAGCAGCGGCGCGCTTCAATTCTCGCCCAAACGAAAAGAAATGAAAGCAAACCCATTTCACGGCTCGCGAATCGCCGGCGCCGGGAACAAAACAAAACTAGGGTTTCGCCGGGAGCGATGAGAAAGAAGCGAACGGAAGAGGGCGAATTCGGGATTTGGGCGCTCACCTGCTTGGAATTCATCGAGGAAGGACATGAAGGAGGCGGAGGCGGAGGCGACGGCGGTGGCGCAGGTCGACGCTGAGGTCCGGCGGCGGCGGAGGCGGCGGCCGCGGCGGCGGAGGAGGACGAGGCGGTGGTGGAGCGGGAGGGGCAGGGATGGTGGAAATGGTTATGGGGACGGAAGTGAACCGGGTTTCTGGTCGTTTCGGTGGGGGATGATGCGGGAGATGAACCGGGTTGTGTACGGATTTTATCATGATGAACCGGCATGGTGATTAATTGATTAATAGCAATTGCATGAAATTAGTTTAGTCAAATTTTTTTTGGAGATCAAGGATTTTATCCTGAATAATATTTTAATATATATATCTAAGATGGAGAAATTCATGGATTTATAATGAATTCAACATTTTTATAATTTCTACGCGTATATATTTGGTATTTTGCAACAGCCTATGTTCAGAATTTACGCACCCCTTGTCTCTATTAGCAAGATAAGTGGATATATATTGAAGGTATATCTATGTTTTTTTCCTTTAATATTTTGAACGAAGACTTTTAAATATGTGAGATATTGAAAAAGAAGTCAGTAACATTATTTACTTAAAATGATGATCTACATATTTGTTCGGAATACCATTTATAGTCACTGCACTTACCCGCACTTGCGATAACATCATTGAACTCATCAAATGCGATGAACATTCATTATTATGGAATCGACGCATTTTGATTGGTATTCGACATACTTTTTCCGGTGAAATGTTGACATGGGAACGGTAGATTTGCTCTCGATTTGTTTCGCAAAAAATGAATAATCTTGAAAACATTTTCCTGAAATTGGTCGTTTGAAATAATTAGTCAATAAAAAATATTTTCATTATCGATAACAATTTATATATAAATAGTTTCGTAAAACGATGAAAATGTTATTAATTTATTCATTTTTGTTTTATTTACTTGACTTGAATTAGTGACTTCATGATTTTTCCTTCCTACCTCCGCCCAACCTAATCCTCTCTTTGTTTTCGACAGAATCCAACAGCAAGTTTACTTAACTCGCTTTACAATGACAGGGACAAACCTAAACCCAATCATATTTTACCTAACGAACATGCTTCTTCCGAGTTTTTAGAGCTTGAAACTTGTCGTATTATTTAAGTAAAAGTGAAAAATAATCAAAGTATTTCAAATTCGGATCGTGAATGTAGTATTACGATAATGTTTACTGGTCGAACTTTAACGGATTCATTTGGAAAAGAACGGGGGACAACTTGATCGATAATTTTTAAAACTCTCCCCAATGTTTAATTTAGTTCTTAAAGTTTTATTTTGTTCACTCTTTTAAGGATTGAATTCCCTAAAAAATCACAAACTTTAGGTCAAGTCCCAAATTTGCCCCGAACTTTTTTTTGTCTAGGAAAAAAACCCAAACTTTAGGTCTAATTCCAAATTTGTTCTGAACTTTTTTTTGTCTTAGAAAAAACCAAAAACTTTAAGTTCAGTCCCAAATCTACCTTGAATTTTGTTTTGTATAAAAAAAATCAGCAAATTTCAATTTATTTTCAAAAATATATCCCGTGATCTAATCTCAACTTGACGGGGCATTTCCACGTTGATAAAAAATCCACATCAGCAAAGTAATAAGGCAATAAGTACATATCGACGTCGCATTTTCACTTCGATAACAAATCCAACCCAATAAAAATTGTTGAAATTCTCCAAAATAAAACCGTTCTAGGATATGAAAGTTAGGGACGATAATAAATCCACCCCAAAATTTTTTTTTAATTTAAAAAAAGACCCAATTTTTAGGTTCAGTCCAAATTTGTCACGAACTTTTCTTTGTCTAAAAAGAAGTTCCATTACTTTGTTGATGTGGATTTGTTATCGATATGGAAGTGTTACGTCAAGTTGAGACCGGATCACGAGGGTATATTTTTTAAAATAAATTGAATTTTGGTGATTTTTTTACACAAAATAAAATTTGGGGCAGATTTAAGACTGGACTTAAAGTTTGGAGTTTTTTCTGAGACCAAAAAAAGTTTGGAATTTTTTAGGGAATTAGGCCCTCCTTTAAGTTAGCGTACTTTTGTTTGATTTCTTTTAAATGGTTGTGACATTGGAAAACCATAGTAAATGTTTAAAAACTTATTGACGCCATGGAAATGATCATTTTACTGCTAATCACATACAAATTTTTTTTAAAGATGAATTAGTCAAGCGCTCAAAAAGTCCTGATTTAACATATTAAGGTAATACTTGCCAAACCCCCAAGTCAACACTCACCAACAATAATCAAACGTAATGAAAATGCTAAAATCATCAAAGCTCACAAAACGTGAAACGAACTTTGGGATACCTGAGCCGTCTGTCCGGTATAGTTGTAGTTGGGAGTATTCAAGAAGGATCGAGAGACCAAAATCTCAAACGAGCTTGAAGCGGTCCAGGTCAATCGAACCTAATTTCTCGGTCCATTCGGAAAAATTGTCTTTACTTGCCATCAAATGCATTTTTAGTGGTCCTTACCAAAAAAAAATGCATTTTTAGTGGTTGTTTTCCTTAACAGGCGAAAAATGAGTCCTATTGGAGCATCTAGATAGACTTTTTTTTTATTATTTTGTACTTTAGTTTAATCTTAAAATTATAACGATTGCACTTTGGTTTCATTTAGTCTTAAGCACTCAAAATTTTCACGATATAAATGTCAATACATAGATGTACACATATTTTCTTCAAGTTGAACAATAGTTAAAAAAAAAAAAAGAACAAAAGTTTAAATTTTTAAATAGAAATTAAAATATATATTTATATATTTTTTTATTTAGACTAAATTCTTAACAAAGCGAAGGAAGCGCTGCTGCTTTCCAGCCAACGGTAACTTGGCGCGGAGCAAACGGGTCCCACACGCTCTAGAAACGCGGTGGGACCCACTCCGCTCGTGCCTGCGCTTGCGCCCCTTTTTTTCCTTCGTTAAGACAAAAGCGTAATAATCAGCATATTTAACAACTGATCCGACACTTTGTTAAGCTCTAAGCATACTTAATTAAAAATTAATCTAATTTTCAAAGCATTGATTTTATGGAGCGCGAAAATAGCCCGCGTATTAAAAATTACGATTTTTTTTTAGTATTTGCTTAGCTTAGTATCCCTGAAATACTCATTAGCAAAATCCTTAGAACAGTGAAATAGTCCGTGAGTTTACTGTTAGGTTGGTTCCTCGTTATTAAAAAATTCGCAACAGAAATCAAGAAATTGCCGCATTTTGGACCCGATGCTTTCAGCTAACAAAAGAAGGTTTTGTACTTGTCGCATTAGTGGCTCTACAAATCCGTGTCCTCGTGAACGAGACTTAAATGGAGAGGAATGACCACCTTGAGTGCCAGGCAAAATCAGATTAGGAAAGTTTGCAACTTTCGACACAAGAAGTTTTTCTCGTCTTATGCGTAATCAGTGATTTGGGAATCGAAATATTTCTTATCACATGCAACACCCGCTCATCGATGATGGTTGCTTCTAGCTCATTAGTTACAACCTTCCTGTTAATTTCAATCTCAACGCCCAACTCTAGCTTCTCCTCAATACTTTCAAGAGAGGAAAGGAGAAGTTAAATGATGACTTACAAGCAAGGTCCACAAAGAAGAAATGAGAAGCTTGAAGAACACAAAGGGCTCGATATGAAAGATAGATGTGAATGCATTCCCCTTTCCTTTGAATTTGAAATCAGTATTGATCCTAGCAAGTTACCAAAGTAGAAAAGAAAACATACAACTCATTTCTAGTTCCGTCATTTGAAGAAACTTGCACCCGAAGTGTTTGATTTGGTTGCATGAAAAGGTCGTCTGCTACCTAATTACCAACTTAATTTGACCTATTTCATATGGGGGGTGTCTCAATGAACTGTTTACATACATATACCATATCATATAAACTCCCAAAATCTACATGTATCTAGAAAAATTTAACTTTGCAATTGTAATGATGTCTCCAGAGATCCCATATCAATGAGGTATTGAATTCCATTAAGGAGAGACAAATCGTGATTATCAAAAAAATTGTCAAGATTACAACTATCTTTCCTTATCTTAATGTTTTCATTTTGCCAACTTCAAGCAACACCTTTGACAAATCGCCACTGTCCTTTTGTCTGTATCCCCTGTTCTCCCGGAAGCTGCAAGAAATCACCATTTGATTAGTCACACGCACACCCAGTTCATAAAAAAAGAAATAACGCAAAAAAGGAAAAGAAAAGGAGAATGCTGAGCTGTTATGCTGTGGGGGAATGGACAACCGCACAGGTCAACCTACAACCAAGCTGCTCAGTCCGAAAGTCGAACAAAGATCACAAGAGAAGGGAAGAAAAATGATAAGAAAACATTATTGCCCAAGTGAATGTTGTCAGTAGTGAGGACAAGTAACGTGACAGGAGAAGATTACAAAAGCTAGCCGTGGAAGCTAGCAGTTTGGATTGTAGGTCCAACGGCTATGACCCCCTTAAAAGCAGCATGACTATCATATACCGAATTCTTTTGTTCTGTATTTTGTGCCTGAGTTAATTTTTTTTTGCTGGGTATCATGTTAAAGTTATGCACCAGAACAGAAAGCTAAATGATAATATCTATTGCAATGCGAACCTGCTGTCCATCAGAGCTGGTGGTAGTGTTTCTTGCTTTTTGTTGTATTATATAATGAGCTACTGAGCTTGAGCGCTTGAGCTTCCCTACAAGGTCAGGTTCAGTCACTCATTTATTATGCCTTTTTTCTGGGTGTGCCCTTTGTAGATTTACTTGAGAGAAGTGGATGGAATGTTGCATTTACATGCACTTGCAGCTCTTTGTTCTGTTCTGCACTTAAGTGTTAAATTGTATTTCTCTCTACTCAAGAACACAAAGTTTCTACAAAATTATGTTCAAGTCGTTTCCTGTTCCCCTGTGAGTTCACATTATCTCTGCATTGGTAGATGAAGGAGATTTCAATGTTCAACTGGATACATTTTCTCTGGAGAAGATTTCACAGTCTTCCTATGAACTGAGCTTTTGGGTCTTCAAATTTGATCTCTAGAAGATACTCCTAGTCTTCTACTTTATCAGTGGGGGGAGAAAAACCTTAACCCAGTAAACGTTCTGAGCAAACATCATAAAGCCTCACATTGTTGTTCTGTAGTGTATTTATCTATTCTTCTTCAAAGATTTTTTAGGCTCTTTCTGGTTTTTCTGTTTACGTTCTCATGTAGCTTCACTCATATCATCTTCTTACTTAGTTTACAGAATGAGTGAGCCCGTGGGAGCGGCTCAAGCATCAATAGTAGATGTTGCAGCCATTGATTTAGAGATCGATCATCGAAGGAAGGAACCTCCGAGATCGTCAGAACCCAAAAGCGCGGCGTTCTCTGATGAAAGAAAAAAGTCCTTAGGAGCACGGTATTACTATGGCATTATCTTTCTGATAACGAATCTTGTCGCGTGGTTCGTTCGTGACTATGGTCAGAAGGTTCTTCCAGAGCTTCACTGTGAGTCAATGCTCTTTCATCCTCGACTTGTCGGTGTTCAGTAATATCTTTGTGGTAAATTTGTACCCTCTTTGTTCCACATGACATCTTCCATAATTTCCAAGCTTATATATTTGTTTTTGCAGATTTAAAATCTTGTGGAAGTGGGGGAATTGCCTGCTTCCAGACAATGGGAGTTCTCCGCGTGAGTCTAGGATGCTTTGTATCCTCAACATATTTTTTGCAAGCGAGCTCTGCCATTGAGGACAGTTGTATCTCTTGCTTTACCTTTCTAATTCGTTTGTTAGAAGACTAAACTTCCCAATAGACATTGCCAAAGTTCATCACCTCGCAAGCGGTGTAGGTAAATGGTTGATGAACTTCACCTAACATCATGTACACCTTGACATAATACGCTCCAGATGTTTTTCTTTTTGATGTTTCTCACTACACTCAGTACGAGAAAGCTCCACGATGTCTGCAACATCTGGCATTCGGGATGGTGGGTTGTGAAGTTCATCATTTTGATGGGGTCAATGACAGCTCCCATATTGTTCCCTTCAAATCTGATTCACTTGTATGGTAAGTTAGTTTGTGCATAACTAAGCCTTGGTGAAATTTATGCTTGAATTTATGCACATAGCGTTCCTCTTGTCTTGCCATGCTCATACACACGTTCGTTATTCTTCCCCATAAACTCTTTCCTTAACCTGCCTTAAGATTATACTTTCATATGTTCAGCTCCTTTACTGAAATGTAGCAATTGTATTAGACTAAGAGGAATCCAATTTTATTACTGAAATATATACTTATCATCTAAAGAAACTAGCTACTAATCTGTCAGAATAACGGCCTTCTATAATGCTTTTGCAGGTGAATTTGCTCGAGTAGGTGCAGGGTAATTCTCATCTCCTTTGATGCATTGATAAATTCATGTAAAAAAATTTGCAAAATTAAAAAGCAACAGAAACTGAAAACCACTACATGGAGCAAGAAAAAGTTTATATTTTGAGTGCTATGTAAGTTGGGTTCTGATTCTGAACATCAAATAAAGTAACTACACATTTCATGGGGCATTATGCCTAGAAATCTCTCTGCTTTTCTGTTTTCTCTTAGTCGATTCTCAAAATATTTTGAAGTCCCACTCATGACATCTTCCTTTAAAATGTAGAATCTTTCTTGTGCTTCAGCTCATTAGCGTGATCCAGTTCATTGCTTGGTGGAATAATCACTGGATGCCCGACGGAGAAAGTAAGCGAAGGTATTCACTTGATGAAGTCATGCACTGGCTGCTTGTAGAAGCACATTACTACCGGAAAAGACATACATACTATTTATCCCAAGTTTTAACAGCATTCATGTGAACGATAGCCATAAACGAAGAAACATTGGCCTTATGACTGATTAAGCCTACATCAGAGTGTTGCTTTCCTCCATTGTTCTACAATTTTGGCAGATTGTCCTTTTATATTTATTAGGCTTGAGTACTGGGGCTTTTGCGTTTACTTTAATTCCATTATAATGAGTGCTTGGATCCTGCAGCTGCTCTATTGGATTGGTGATGTCCACAATCTTTTATGTCGCGTCGGTAGGAGGGATTATCATGGTTTGCAAATTCTATGCTTCGGGACAGTCCCTCAACATATTCTTCATCACTTGGACCGGCATATTGCTTGTAGTGATGTTGGTCATATCCTTGCACTCCAAGGCATGTTACACAAAATCAATTGAAGTAATACGCAGTATATTTACATATATAAATGCCCAATTGCTGCTTAGATGTCTAACACATGTTCAGAAGCAATCTATTAATTATTGCAAGATCATTTTCGATTTTTAGTAAGGTTTCAAATTTACTAGCTAGAACACTTGATGATACTTTTTGTTCTGTAACTGATGCATCTATAATCTTCACAAGTGAATTATGTTGAATAAACTAATTATGCAGAGACTCACACTGTAAAACATTCCTCTGTTAATTTATTGCCCAATCTTTGACTTTGTACTTGCTAGCAATTAGCAGAACAATTAAATTTGTGTTATTGGAAGATTACCAGAATAAGACATCATGTCTTGTTCCTAAGATGCTAATGCACGTATGGCTAGTGCAGGTCAACAGTGGCCTTTTATCTTCAGGAATAATGGGATCGTACATTGTGTTCCTCTGTTGGTCTGCCATTAGAAGGTGAGAAAATCTTGCCCAAGTTTGCGGATTTTACACTGCAAGTACATATTATTTTTCTCTTTTATCTAGTTTCCAATGACTGTATTTTATCTTGGAAAGAACCAGCATCATTTAACAGTTGTTTCGGTTTTTATTTGCTTAATTGAATTTACACGAATACCATATTCTATTGCATAGCACTTGCTCATAAATGTTTTCCTGCAGTCGCAAATCAGCACTGTCTTACGATTTTTCAGTTGTTTCTTGAATGCACGAACAGTTAATATTTCCTCCTGTAAGAATATAACTGATTTTATGTTTAGTGAGCCTGCCATACAGAACAGCAATATGCAGAAGCAAGGGACTCATCATGATTGGTTTACTATACTGGTCAGTTTTGAATAATATGAATTCTCTCGATTTTCTCTTGGTTACCTTATTCTGTCAGAAGCGAGAAATAATCACCATGAACAATTTCTGAAAGGGCTAATTTGGTATACCACTTTTCATGACTTTTCTAATGATCGAGGTTTTCATCCAGACTGATGTAAACTTTAATTATATGCTGTGAAAAGAAAAATGAACTCAATTTTTATCTGCTTCTCATACTAAGAGAAGGCAAAATGCTGCATTTGTTCTCTTGATAATCTTCTCATCGGTGCTTCCTTTGTTTCATGATTTGTCATTATCTTGCTTCAGAGCTTCCTCATTGCAATATGTGCGATTGTCATGGCGACTTTTTCTACTGGCATTGATTCAGAATCCTTTCAGGTAGAATTTCTGTTCTCTTTCTGTCTCAACACTTGTTGAGCTTTCTCATGTCTTCACCGAATCGCCATTTTTATTATCCTTCGAGGGGTCATTTCATTCAATCATGCATAACTGTCATTGCTTTTCCTTGATTTTTTTCCGAAGTGGTTGTTTCTTTGATAACTTTAATCTGGGAATGCCGGATCAGATGAAACTGTTATTCATGTTCTAAAGTCAACTCTATTGTTAGATTACATAAAATTTGCAAAGTAAAAAGGCAACTCCAGGGAAAAAGGAGAAGTCCCTCCACTTTTCAGATTCATCTTTCCTTTGTCTTGCAAGAAATGCTCAATTCATCTTCTTTTTTCCAGTTTCGAAAGGACGAAGTTCAATTGGAGGATGACGTGCCATACAACTACGGGTTTTTCCACCTGGTGTTCTCTCTCGGAGCAATGTACTTCGCGATGTTGTTCATCTGTTGGAACCTCGAAAATACCACCAGGAAGTACGAAAGCCTTGCTTAATCACTTGCCTTGTAAATTTCTTGAATTTGCGCAAACAATTCATGAAGTTGACTCTATGAACTAAATTAGGTGGATCATCGATGTGGGTTGGGCAAGCACGTGGGTGAAAATCGTCAATGAATGGCTCGCAGCCACGATCTACTGTGAGTAGTAGACACATGTTTTGCTTAGCTATCGCTATTTACTTCAGGTCATTTGATCACATCATAAGCCATACACAATCCAGTCACTTTCCATTAATTCACACTGCATAAGCTCAAACCGATTCTGACTCACGCAAGCACTGGTATCTATCAGTTGAAATGAATCAATGTCAAAGTAAGATATAGCTTAAGGAACTTCTTTTGAACAAAAAGAGCTGCAAGTTTGCTATATGTCTTTATTTCCTCTTCTGAAAGTTTTCGACATTGCCTACGCAGTGTGGATACTGATCTCGCCGGTTGTAAGGCAAGCCAAAGTGATGGACCATGAGGAACCACGAGAACACACGCAGAACTTGGCCGCATCGTGAAACAACTTCAGAGAGATGAGATGTAGATTGATGTTGTAGCTGCATTATTCTTTCTCTGTATGCTGTATGAGCATTAATTGTACTAAAGAACAGACAAATAAGACATCGAGAGTTTCGCTAGGTAAAATTAGGAATTAAAAGCCAGTGAACCATGGATTTGTTAAACGACCGAGCTATTTTCTTCATTCTGAACTTAAAGAGTCGACAGTTGCGAAACACTTCTGTTTTGCAAAACCAATAGCGCAGCATCGTCCGAGTCACAATGCTAGTTTGACGAGTTAAGAATCAATCTAATTAAAAGATGAGATCTGGAATTACTTTGTGATTATTTTTTTATAGAAGATAACAATGAGTAAAGAAGAACAGCAAAAGAATTATCATTGCTGTGACTAAAGCTCGAAAAGGGGTCGTTCTATCCAGGCTTGGCAACACGTTTTTGCTGATTAAAGTAAATGTGAGGACTAAAAACTGCATAGCAAAAGCTTTCTATTACTAGGACATGTTGCCTGCCCATTCAAAAGATGTATATGATAACCAGGATTAGCTGTACCTGCCTCCCATGGAAGATCTGTCAGCATTTGATATGGAAAATTCAGTATATAATGTTGAGGACTAGATGGCTTTTGTGAAGTCAAAGTCAAAGGTAGATGGTCATAGACTGATCAAATATGACCCGTTTTGGAAACCACCCACCTGGTCAACTCAGCATTATGCATTGAAGTGAAAGCAAAGCAATACTGCAAATAGTATCTGCCACACTATAGCTAATATTGGACCCAACCACTTCACTTCTTGGCCGCTAAAACAACTCCAATTTCTTGAGGCATCCCTTTATAAAGACCAAGAGTCCCTACTGTTCTCATCCACCTTCAGTCAGAGAATCATCATTAAGCACACAGACAAACACAGCTCAGAGCACTTTGATCAAATACAAGATGATCCACAAATCATCAGTACCCTCGATTCTCTTGGCGATGATGCTGATCGGAGTTACGTGCTCATCGGCGATCGCGGCTTCGGCGGGCCAGGGGGGGACCGAGCCGGCCCTCGAATTGTACATGCACGACATTCTTGGGGGTAGCAGCCCCACAGCTAGGCCCATAACTGGCCTGTTGGGCAGCATTTACAGTGGCCAAGTGCCCTTTGCAAAGCCAGTGGACTTTCTTCCTCCACAAGGGGGCGTGGCCGTTCCCAATGCAAATGGTGCAATCCCTACGGTCAATGGGCTCAATGGAATCCCCCTAGGGACAGGCCTCGCAGGGACCCGGTTTGCCGGGACGCCCGACAATGGCCCAAACCCAAATGGCGTCCAGACCCAGTTGGGGCCCGACGGGCTGGGCCTCGGGTTCGGCACGATCACCGTCATCGACGACATCCTGACCTTGAGCCCCGAACTGGGGTCGCAGTTCATTGGCAAGGCCCAGGGTGTGTACGTCGCTAGCTCGGCTGACGGGACCACGCAGATGATGGCCTTCACGGCTGTGATCGAGGGCGGGGAGTACGGGGACAGCCTCAACTTTTACGGAGTGTATAGGATTGGGGCCGCCCTCTCGAAACTGTCTGTCACAGGGGGGACCGGGAAGTTCAAGAACGCGTGTGGGTACGCGGAAGTGAGGTCGCTCTTCCCGTCGGGCCAAAACGTTATCGACGGCGCGGAGATGCTGTTGAGGATCACTATCTACTTGAGGTACTGAAACATGGTATCAAAGCGGACGGTCCTGGATTTGTTTGGACGAACAGCTTGATTTGAAATTCCTTTATCTGGCAATGTGGAGCGGTGAAATTGTTTGCTTCAGTATTTTCTTTACCCCATTAATCCCAGAAGTGTAAAATCCTGGTTTGATTGATTGGTCTTCAGCTGAACCATTGAATTCTGTTCATTTGGAGTTCATCGGTTTAGGCACCCACCGTCGACTCTAAATCATGTCAAACTCCGGAACTCGTGCTGCATCATTTCAAGTTCTATGCATAAAAAAGTAATGAAAAATAGCCGTTGAATTTTGGCACGATTCAGAATTAAGTAAAACCTAAACAAAATATTTAAGAATCACATTAAATAAATTAAAAGTTTCAGGATCATATTATATATTGGACTAGAGTTCAGGACCGTATTGAATAAATTAAAAATTTATGATCACATTACATATTATACCAAAATTTAGGGATCATTCGTGTAATTATTCCTAATTTTTTTTGCAGATTTGACTAAAATGGACCGACTTGATCCGCACCAACCCTATTGAAATGATATCTTCTTTCCTCTCTATTTGACTATTGCTCTGTTTTTCGAAATCAAATCACAAGTTTAACTTCATATAATCTAATAAACCCATTCCACATTTCTCACTTCTCCCTTTTTTATTTATTTTTTCACTCCTAATTTTTTAACATTGACATGATACGCGACGATCTCGTGGCCACTGATCAAGCAACTAAAAAAAAGAAAGTTTGCAATTTGTCAAATGCACTGACTTACAAACATCGCAATATATTTCATCGGCACCTCGGAAGTCGAAATATCCCATATTAGGTCCGCGCACTCGTTAGCAAAAGTAAGACACTTTTGTAAATAAGTATCCAGATTACTGCGTTCACGTAATACCCGCTTGAAATTGTCCTAGCCCATTTCACATCAACTTAGAATAATTAATTTGGCGGACGCGAAAAAAAAAAAAAAAACACCAAATCTATACATTAATTTAATAAACTTAGAGTCATTCATTTTTTTTTTTTGGAACACTTGTTGGGCATACTTATGGAAAAACGTTATTTTTTAGTTAGTAATCACCAATACATTAGTACTTTTTTTTTTTTGGTCAGCACCCACCAATACATTAGTACTTGGTGAGAACTAATGTGAACTAATGTATTGAAAAGCAGCTATCTTTTTTCAGTATTAAGCCACCTAACAGTCTAACAAGTATATGATATCCCAAATAAAAGAAAGCAAATAAAAATAAAAGGCTCTTCCAGATCATCGAAACAAGAACGCCCGACCAGTTCTTGATCCGCCATTGTCACACTGTACAGACAAGTCTCTCTCTCTCTCTCTCTCTCTCTTCCTCTGTGTTGAGACAAGAGTGACGCAAAGCTCCGTTCTTGTAAGAAGATTTCTTCTCCTACTGTAAGGGCGCAAACCCATTGTCAAGCCCAACCGAAAGATCGAATCTTTTTTTCCAACCATGCAAAACCCGCCGCCGCCGTCGCCCACCGCAACCGCCGCAGCAACCGCCGCCGCCGCAACCGCCAAAGACCACCATACCCGGACCACCCTCTTCATCATCCTCGCCGCCTCCTTCTTCTCCCTCCTCTTCATCCTCTCCCTCTCCTCCTCCTCCTCCTCCTCCTCCGAGCCCTCCCAGCCTTCCTCCCGCCCTCCCCGGCCCGACCCGTTCCTCTTCCCCAACGCCCAGTCCCACCGCACCGTCTTCCCCACCGACCCCTCCTCCTCCTCCGCCTCCGACGACGGCGCCGACGCCGACGCCCCCCCGCCGCCCTCCGTCGCCTACTTCGTCTCCGGATCCGCCGGCCACTCGGCCCGGATCCTCCGCCTGCTCCGCGCCGTCTACCACCCCAGGAACCACTACCTCCTCCACCTCGACCGGTTCGCCCCCCAGGCCGACCGCGACGCCCTCGCCCTCGCCGTCCAGTCCAGCCCCATCTTCCGCGCCGCCCAGAACGTGGACGTCCTCGGCCGGGCCGACTTCGCCTACCCGAAGGGGTCGTCCCCGATCTCCGCCACTCTCCACGGGGCCTCGATACTGCTCCGGCTCGCCCCACGCTGGGATTGGTTCGTCAATCTCAACGCTCTTGATTACCCGCTCGTTACTCAAGATGGTACAGCTGTTAGCCGGGTTTTGATTTTGTTGGGTTTTGAATTTTAGTACTTGTTGATTGGGTATTGAACATTTGCTGTTGGAGTTGCAGATCTGCTTCACATACTGTCCTACTTACCCAAGGATCTGAATTTTGTGAACCACACCAGTTACATTGGATGGAGAGAGTATGATATAGCTCACTCTCTGGACACTTTCTTCCATTGGTTATTGCTTGAATTTCTGTCTTTTGGGTGAAAATGTGTAGCCTTTCGAGCTCGCCAGTGATTAGAAGTTTTCTGGTTTTTTGTTTTCAGGTCTAGGAAGTTGAGACCGATCATTGTCGATCCGGGTCTTTATCTCTTGGAGAAGACTGAAATGTTCTACGCCAGTCAGAAGCGCGGTTTGCCTAATGCATACCAGCTCTTCTCAGGTACATACTTCCATTGCACATAAAAAGCACGCCATAATCCGTCAAGTAGGAATATTCTTTTTTGTTGTGAAAACCTGGATCGACTTCAGACTTGTGGAAATGACTATTTTTTGCATAAATTCTTGGAGATTATACCAGAAATCCAAGTTCTGATGATGCTTACCCATTTTCAAATTATGGGACCGTCTTTGTAGTATAGTGAGTGATTGATTGCTTGCCCTCCTATTGCTGGTGTCAATAGCTATCTTCATCATAGAATTGGGACATATCAATTGGACCGTTGTTCAAAATGACAAAACGTTTTAGAAGGAAGATATCACTCAAGGTGGTTCCTTTAACTACCGGGATTGGTTTTTCTACTTTGAAAGTGTTGATATGTGCAATTGAGTGCATGTATAGTGGAATAGGAAGTCATGGCTTCCATGGAGTGGGATGGCCTATATTTGGTTTAAATGAATTGGAGCTCCTTAAATGAGAAGCTAGGTTTAGGCGTCCCTTCAGCTAAGTATGAGAGAGTTATGCAGCATGTTTGACGAGTCCTTTCAAACCTTTGACTGTCAGGATAACGCTTGGTGTCAAACTCACTTGGCTTTTATTCTGTTGTAAGGATGCTTACTTAATGGACTTACTCATGAAGTTATTGTTCGCTTAATTTGAATAAATAGAAAGATGTTAGCTTTTGTAGAATATAAATTCTTTAAATGAATGCAGGGAGTCAGCCATTTGTTCAGTGATTTGTTTTATGAAATGCTTTATCCGTTTGTTGCAGCATTCAGACATTAACTGGGTAGACAGAGCTATTTGTTTTCTATGCCTCTTTGTTATGTTGCTATGTCTTTTTTTCTAGTATGAAATTCAAAGAATCCGACCGGATAGCTGTGCTATTTTTTGTGCCCTTTTCATTCTGCATGCTTCTGTGGCTAGGTTGGAGTTTTTTCGAGAGTTTCATGTGGTTCGACATTGTCTTTTCTACAGATGGCAAATGATGTTCTTCTCAATGAGAGGTGGGATTCAGAACAAGTAATAATAGTCTTAGTCTGAATCAAAGAAAAGAGAAACAGAAGTTGCACAGCATTTCATAGCATGAGTGATTTCCTATGCTTTTTGACCCTTCTCAAACATTCCTCTTTCTTCAAACCTTGAGAGTTTAGCGGTGACAGCGCCAGCATATCAATCATTAGAATTAGTTTGCATCAGACTCATCTAAATTGCTCATCTGATTATGAAGTTCCCTTTTGACAACTAGAAAACTACCTGCTTTGATTATAAGTTGCTAACATGAAGCATCCTAATTTGTTCTCAACAATTTTGTTTTTCACTAAACATAAAATCTTATTTTCCTTTGCACGGGAATTTTTCTTTTGAATTCAACATAGAATAGGTATTTCATCCACCATGAGCTAGCACATTATTCAAGAGAGACAATAGGGAAGCTGATACATTAATACATACATATTGTACCTTAATGAAATAACCTTGCCACTTCATGGTTTATTGTCCTTAATGTGTGTTAACTGTATGTTACTAAGATGTCCAATAGAGTGAATAGCTTTTATCTTTCACTTAAGGTCCTTTTGGAGTATGTGCTTTAGAACCCATTCAACTTTTATCTTTCTGCGTACATCATCTGATGAGATTATGCTTAGCCTTGCCAGTCCGACCATAATTATGTGGAGATGTCACATTAGTCTTCTTAAAACTAGATTAAAACAGCCAGTTCAACCTGTTGAACCAGGAACGAGCTTGTTTATTGGCCCATCGTGGTCAAAACTTGGAATGAATGAGGGTTCGGTTGTGGTTAAACAGGTAAACCGGTCATCCAATCTGCTTGGATGGCTCTTGGTTTTTTAAGAAGTCTGAGTGGCTTGTGGAGGCTTGGCTTTGAACCCACACCTTCCTTTTTTTTTATAATTCAAGGGCGTGACCATTATTAGCCGGCTATTAAGAATCCATCGCCATAGCCATTCACTTGAATTTGAGTTCCCCAGAATAGGTAGCCATCGGTTTCTTAGTTAAAAGCATGGGATTGCCCTTATCACCAGGTCAATCTCAGGGTGGGTCCCACCCCCTATTATTGTAAGTCCAACTGGCCATTTTGTTAAATTGTTTGTAACTAAATGTTTGTTGCATTGAGTCCTAGGGAGTGAGCTCCTCCCTCATAGTTTTGCGCATCTCCACCGTATTGGCTGGGATAAGTTATGTCACTAATATATATTCTAAACAATAGACGATGGCGTCATCGACCTGTGGACTGGCGGATTCTACAAGTTCACCCACCAAAGGAACTGACCTTGATTTTCCTCTACTTAGGCTTCAAAAATATGGTCACATCGACATCTTGTATGCCAAAAGTTATAAGAATAGACAAATCGTAAACTGGATAACTATCTCCAATTTGCACTTTCGGTCATAGTCATCCAACTTTGCTATTTCTTTCACGTAGGGCACTACACTTCTAATAATTTCAGTTAAGCCATTAAATAGTTGACATTCCTGTCAACGAACCACCGGATAAATGATGAGATTGATCATGTGATCTAAAGTCAATTGACCTCTGAAGAAAGTTGGACTAACGTTGGGCGAACTCATAAAGTGAACTGAAAGTTTAGCGACTTGATTGAACAAATTAAAACTATAGTGACTAATTACATGAAACTACCGAAGTATGGGGACCGATAGGAGTAATTTGCCCGACTTACATTTGTTGTCCATACTCTATAGCTGTTGTACTTGTTTGTTTGTGTTACTTGTTACAGACCATGAAGTTGCCTGTTATTAACCGATTCAGTTGCAGCAAATTCATGGTCTAGCAGTCTCATGTAATCAGATTGCCTAATTGAATGCTTATGCATCTCGCCACTTACTGTAAAATTATCTTCTTTGTGTACCTGGCAACTATCTCCTTTCGATGTATGCATTTTGGAACTTCAGTTCCAAGTAAGACTAATAATAAGTTATCTCTCTCCCCTACTTAATTTGTATTTTTAAATTCACATTTGCATGAACTTAAATATGTGCCTGTCTTCTTATTTATACTGGGTACCATTTCTGCTGTTCACTAGCAAATTCAGCTCTTGTGCAAAAATGGATAATTACAGGCGATGAGACTGAATACTTCCTCATTTTACCTGGACAAAAAATATGAATGCCCATATAGCTCATAACAACTATTTACAGTACGCCGGTGAAATTTCAAAGCTTCATTTGCTTTATATTAGGTTGTCTCTATTTGTTTATTTATTGGTGCGTTAAAATCGGCTTCTTCTTCAGTTAAAGTAGTTTATGAGTTCTGTGATCATCTTGCTGCTCTTTTGTTTTGGGCTGCTAGGTGGTTAAAATTGTCAAAATTTTTTGGTACTTACTTTTGCAACTATCACTGCGTAGTTAAACTGACAGTGTATTTTTCTCTTTCACAGGTTCAACCTTTGGAATTTTAAGCCGTAACTTCATCGAGCACTGCATCCTAGGAACTGATAACCTCCCCAGGACTCTCCTCATGTATTTGTCAAACACGCCTTCGTCCCTTTCAAACTACTTCCCCACCATACTATGCAATTCTCATCAATTCAATCGTACCGTTGTAAATACTAACTTACAATACACTTCTAACAAATCCATGAAGGGGGAATATCCTGAACTAGATTCGAATGACTTTGACAATATGATAAAGAGTGGAGCGGCCTTTGCCTCCTCATTCCCAATGGATGAATCGGTTCTTGACCGGATTGACCGAGAGATTTTGGGGCGCTATCCCGACAAAGTGGCACCTGGCGGGTGGTGCTTGGGTGAATCTAGAAACGACACCTGCTCAATTTGGGGAGATGCTGATGTATTGAGGCCCGGACCTGGAGCAAGAAGACTGGAGAAGTTTTTAGTCAACTTCTTGTCCAACGGTACTGTTCTGTCTCAGCAGTGTGTGGTGCTCGATTGACACAGTCCCACTTGTAGAAGTTGTCGGAAGAACCTTGGGGGCCAAATTTTCGTGACCGAGATTCCTCAATCTGCTGATTCTTTTTAGCTAGCAGTCATGGCCATCGGGGTTTGGCCAAGATTGGTGACATCAATTAACAAGGCATTACTACATGAAAGGATGGTTGTGGCCAACCTCATTTAGTGGGAAAAGGATTGGTTTTTATTCTTGTGATGTGAAATTCCACTTGTTCCGCTGCCAGTGCTGACCAGTTCAGCCCGTTGGAGGTGGATTGCTGTGCAGATGTTCTGATCCAAGGAATGAGGAACATGGTGAGCTACGGTTTGCCATTTTCATACTTGGGTGCTTTGCTATGAGAGATTTAAATTTGGAACATCCTTGTAAAGTTAACATGAAGCATTTGGATGAAGATTGGTTGCTTGCAAGAATGGGCTCTCTTTTCCACTTGTTGTGCAGTGAGTTTCTCTTGAGGCTTATCGCTGGTCTTTCATTTGCTGGATTTAGAAAGATAGGATTTTTCTATCTGATCAGATGTCAATGACATTGTTGTCATATATTGACGTTTTCGAGTGCATGAATTGTATCACCCAATGGTTCTAGCAGTAGCGGATAGACCCTTAAAATGTAAGACTTGCTCGGAGGGGAGGATGTCGTAGTTATTGGGTTAAATGCATATGGAATCAGATCTTACACTAAATCCTGGAAGAAATTATAATGGCAATCTTTTGGAAGGAGAAATTACGTTTATGAAACCTGTGGGATATAGATTTGGAATGACACGATAACCATGGAGTATAATCTTCGGATGTAAATCAACTGGCCTGTAGATCTGTAAATCTCTGTTTTTCTTTTAGGACTTTGCTTTTAAATGCTTTAAGAAGGAAGAAAAGATCTACATGCCACTGTTTTATCTAACTTTATATTCAGCAGATTGTGATGGCAATCCTAAAATCTTCTCCTTTATTATTGGAAATCTTTGTAGGGATATAGTAGAGGTGGCAATATGGGTCGGAAACCCAATTTCCAACTCGGTTTTAGTGAGTCGGGTTGAATATGGGTCACTTTAAATTATAAGAACGGGTCAAGATGAGTTTAAAACATCAGAGCCCGACTCCATAGGAGTTTGTGCGAGTTTGTACCGGACTCATATTCGTTCCATTTAGATTATTAGCTCAGGCTCAAACTACTATTATGTGAAATCCAACTCTAACACGGCCTGCGAAACTTTGGGCAAGGGACGCAACTCGCCCCCGTTGCTCGCCCCTCGAGGATCGCCGTTGTCCCCAAACTACTATTATGTGAAATCCAACTCTAACACGGCCTGCGAAGCTTCGGGCAAGGGACGCAACTCGCCATCCCCCCCCCCCCCCCTCATTCGTGTACCGTCGCCATCAACCACGACCTCGGCTTGGAGGTCCTTGACCTACTTTGGCGAGGACCTCCACCGGCTTCGAATGTGAGGTTGAGGACCTCCCACCTACTTTGGCGACAGCATTGATCTCGGTTTTTTCTGGATGTCCTTGAACTCCAGTGGAAAAAGGCAACACAGCCTATCGAGGGTGGCGGGGCGGCGACGGTGGTCTTTGACGTGACAGAGTAACACTATGCATGACAGAGAAGTTGGCGTACCAATGCTGACTGGGGAAGAAGACGATACTATGCAATCTCACAACAGGATTGCTGTTGGTTAGACTTGCAGCCAAGCAGAAATATTGTCTTCTTGTGTTTCAAAAATTTCTTCTTTTCTTTTTCATTTTTTAGGAAATTAGCTTTTTGACTTTTATGCTTTTTATATTGATCTTTGGAAATTCCTTTTTGCTATTTAGGGTCCGTTTGGTAACCATTCTGTTCCCGAAAATAATTTCTGTTCAGAAATGATTTTTTGTATTCTATTCTCGGAAATAATTTATAAGCATTTGAAAGCGTTTGGTAACTGTCCAAAATTTCTTTTTATTAATAATATTTTAAATATTTAAATATTTCTTTTTTTTTCTTTTCTTTTTTTCTTCCTCCCCTTCCTTGGCCCATGGTCAGGTCGTCGGCGCCGGCAACTGGCCACAGGCCAGGGCTGGCGAGGGTGGCTCACGGCTTGGGGAGGGCCGCCGAGGGTTGCCCTCGCCCTGGCCGGCCCTAGCCGGCGACCGGCAACTGGCCACAGGCCAGGAAAAATGAAGAAGGCCAACTAAGAAGAAGAAAAAAAAAATTCTTTTCCATTTCTGATTTTTGTTCCCAAAATAAAAAATTACCTTTTTTTTTATTCTTGATTTTATTCTAAAATTGATTCTGGGAACAAATATGTGTCCGGGAACAAAAAATTTACCAAACGGATTTCTATTCTTTTTTTGTTCTGGGGAACAAAAGAATAGAATCGGGTACTATTTGACAAGTTATCAAATAGCCCCTTGAGCGAACGATGAGATTAAAAAAAAAGGGTCTTTTTAATGTCGGGAATTTATTAGAACTCACATCAATTTCGTGCTCGCTCTTGAGCATCGAGCTTCCTTGTGGTTTGGCAGCGACAATGCAGCAATGGCGACGGCTGGTAAGTGATTTCTAGAGCTGTCTACATTTGTCAAGAGCATCTATACCGATGAAATTTCTTCCCCTTCTCCAATTATTTTGTTTTGTTTTGATTTGCCGTTTTAAAGATTTTCTTTTGATATTGTTTTACGATCAATTTTTTTGTTGGCATTTGGTACATTTCCTTATTTTCTTTCTTAATGTTACGTTTCTTGATGGGTCTGAGTATTTTCATATCTTTCAGTACTTAGGAAAGTAAAAATTTATGTCATATATAACTTTCTAGGCATGGTCTTTTCTGCTAAATTAGATCAAATTTTTTTCTACTAGGTTCCATTCATTTGGCGAAAAATGTGGCATTTTTGGAAAATGTTTTCCGGGAAGTCATTTTCCTGGAAAATGACTTCATTTTCCGATGTTCAGGGAAAATGACTTCATTTTCCGATGTTCGGCTAAAATCTAAAAAAGTCTCGAAAGATATTTTCCGTTGTTCAGTATAGAAATGATTTTCGTTCTTGCAATACTTTTAATATTTTTAATTTTTTCTTTTTTTTTCTTTTTCTTTTGCTTCTTCTCGGTGGTGCACGCATGCGGCATTGCGGCCCGTGACTTGATGGCGGCTAACGGCCGGCGCCAGCGACCAGCCGGGGGCGAAGCTCGAGCATCGCCCAGGCCGGCGATGCTCGAGCTCGCCAATTCCCGACGAGGTCGAGCCTCGCCGGCCTGTGGCGACGCTCCGCCTCGCTTGATCCGGCGAGACCGGCGAGTCCGACCTCGCCAGATCCGGCGACCTGGGCGAGGCTCGAGCCTCGCCCGAGGTCGTCGGAGCCTCGCCGATGTCTGGTGACCTCGGGCAAGGCTCGAGGTTGCCGGATCTAGCGAGGCCCAAGTCGCCGCTGGCGATCAAGCAGCCCGAGGAGCCTCGCCCACGAACATGAAGAAGAAGAACCCACGAACAGCAACACCAGAATACGAAGAAGAAGAAGAACCCACGATTCCCCTCTCTCTCTCTCTCTCTCTCTCTCTCTCTCTCTCTCTCTCTCTCTCTCTCTCTCTCTCTCTCTCTCTCTCTCTCTCTCTCTCTCCCCCACGAACAGCAACACCAAAAAACAAAAGAATCAAAGCATCAGTAGAACCTCGAGCCTCGCCCAGGTCGCCGGATCTGGCGAGGTTGGAGCTTGCCGACCTCGGGCGAGGCTCGAGACTCGCCCGATGTCTCCAGACGGCGGTGAGGCCGAGGTCGCCTGAGGCCGGCGAGCTCGGGCCTCGCCACTGGCCGGTCGCCGTCCACAGCGCTGAGGAAAGAGAAGAACGGAAAAAAAGACAAAAAAAATAGTGAAGAAGAAGAAGAAGCAGCTCCGGAAAATGAATTCCGCTTTTGAGAAGCGGAAGTCATTTTCCACAGACTTAGGCTATTTTGTGAGAGGGGAAGGAAAATGTTTTCCCACAGAAAACGTTTTCCGCCCCCCGAACACCGGAAATCCCGGAAAATATTTTCCGGAAAAATATTTTCAGGGGCACGAACAGAGCCTAAATTCGATCAAATTTCTATCACCGGGAGAATTAATATGAAGGTTTATAATATGAACCCAACCCCATCCATAATCCGACCCCCGAACCCAATCCACGTTTTCACATTTCTCATGTGCCATGGGAAGTCTTAGCCCACGACCCGACCCGAGCTCCCTCACCGACTCCGTGAGCCGGTCCATAAAATCGCCCATTCTTTAGAGGCATCGATTTAAGGAGAAAAATTAATAAGAATTGGAGCTTTGGTCCGTTCGGATATGTGTTGAGTCCGGGTTAGGTCGGGTCCTGTTGCTAACAATGTAATTCATTAAAAAATATGTTAAATGTAGGTTAAATTGGTTAATTGGGATCGGAGCATTTTTCATCGACTCAAACCCGATCCTATCCACCCATTTAATGGGTCGAGGACATAGGCAATAATGTACAAAAAAAATAGTAGTACATTGATACAAAGGGAAAATTACCAAAAAAAGCCTTAAACCTATTTTACTTTTGCCAATTCAATCATATACTTTTCAATTGTGGCAATTAAATCTTAAAATTTTCACATTTTGCTAATTGAGTCCATTCAACCAATTTGAGAAAACTGTTAAAAAAGTCATAAACCTATTGCACTTTTTCCAATTCAGTCATAAACCTTTAAAGTTTGCCAATTTAGTCCTAAACCTTTTTACTTCTTGCCAATTCAGTCCATCCAGCTAACGCTGATGTGGCAATTTTTAAATTTTTTTTCTTTTTTTTCTTCTGCACTTCTTCCTCTCTGGTCAGTCCGGCAAGGCCGACCTCTGGTGAAGCTCGCCCTCGCCGGCCACGGGCGAGGATGAGCTTGCCCGCCGCTACATAGGCGAGATCGAGGTCGGCCTTGCCCAACCAAGGCGAGGCCGGTCAACGTCGTCGTAGGGTTCCACCTCGCCTAGCGATGGCGAGATCGGCCTTGATCTCGCCCAGGCAGCGGTGGGCGAGTTTTGCCAGAGGCCGGAGAGGCCACGCCTCTGGCCGGTTGTCGGACCGGCCAGAGAGGAAGAAGTGTAGAAGAAAAAAAAGAAAAAAAAATTCAAAAAAATATTTTAAAATTGCCACGTCAGCGTTGGCCAGATGGCCAGCGGCCATGTCAGCACCGCCCGGTCAAAATTGGGCGGATAGACTGAATTGGCAAGAAGTGAAAAGGTCTAGGATTGAATTGGCAAAATTGAAAGGTTTAGGACTAAATTGGTAAAAGTGCAATAGGTTTTTTTTTTTTTTGATAACCGAGGTGTTCGCGCGGCCGGCGAGCTAGGGCTCAAACCAGCGGTGATGCCCGACTAGTCCTTGAGGGGGGCTAGCGCAGCATCCCACCGCCACGACCCCCCACTTAAATCACCGATGGGCGAGTTTGAACCCAGGACTTCTCGTGAAAGGAACTGGGCGCAAACCAACGCGGCCACCGATGGGTGGATTGTAAAAGTGTAATAGGTTTATGACTTTTTTGACAATTTTCCCCAACCAATTTTGGCCGGAAATCGCTGATATGAACTTCTTCCATCCTACGTGGCATGACTAACGCTGATGTTGATAATTTTTTATAATATTTTAATTTTCCTTTTTTATTAATTTTTTTATAAACACGAGTTTTTAGAGTCTATTCCAACACCTAAGAAGTTTAGGATTAGAGATGCCTAAACCCATTCCATTTCAATAGACTTAGAAATCGGAGTCTTACTCAACCATGACTTGTACAGTCTCCCTGCTCAAAGATATCTACAGCTTTAGATAAAAGCTCACACAACCACTCAACGAAAGCAAGTCCATGTCTCCAAAGACCTTCATGCTCCTTAAACATGACAACGTTTTATTAATAAAATAGAAAACCAAAATAAATTGTTGAAGTATCGAAAGAAATAAAAGAAAAAATTACATAGTTCTCTTTTTATTATCGTTGATTGAGTAGTTTTAGATTGAAAATGGGATAAGTGCTCTTGGAAGTCTTAGAACTTATCGTAAAAGTACAATTAAATCTTCAAACTTTCAAAAATCGCAATCAAGTCAATCGAAGGCAATGGAACCCCCGATCGTCTTGGCTATCACCGTCAGCCGCACTCGCCCCCTCAACCCCCTTCGCCCTAGTCTCTCTTCCCCCCGGTTTGGTTCTCATTTTCTTTTACTTCTCTTTTCTTTTCCAATCATAGATTAAATTCTTTGGTCTTGTTTAATTTACTAAAAATCACTCCTAGGATGGGCGCATTCTCCATTTGTTTCGCTAAAAATGAATGGTTTGGAAAACGTTTTCCTAAAAATGATTGCTCATATCACTTGAAATAATTAGTCAACGGAAAATATTTTCATTATCAACAAGTGAAGGGAAAATATTTTCATTATCAACAATAATTTATGTCTAACTATTTTCGCAGGCGATAAAAATATTTTTCATTCATTCATTTTTATATTATAAGCGACAAAGGCGATCATTTTTTGGAGATATATTCCAAATCTCGACCTTTCCGTGAAACAAACGGAGTTTTTTATTTAAATATTTTTTCGTTCATTCATCTTCGTAAGCCATAAGAAACGAACGGGGGCCCAAGGTTGATATCGACGAAAACTTCCGATTGCACCTAACTCGGAGGGACCAGATTGCGTAGAAAATCAAAATGACCAACAAGTCTCGTAAATAACGTAGGTTCGAGGAATTGAAAAATCAAAAAGAAGGAGGAGGGAGGAGGAGGAGGAGGTGGGTCCCACTCGATGGACGGCACGTGAGACGCACGCCCTCAGTTGAGAGTAGGTCAAAGGGGTTAGGGGGAATGGGATTCGACCCCGCGCAGGCCGGCCAGACATGGGCATCCCGACCACATGCGCGTAACGTGCGAGTGGGACCCTCCCCACATGCAACTCTCCCCTACCCAATTGCCACCGGTGGGCCCCACCATATCTAATCACTCAATTATATATATATATATTATCAAGCCCCCTCAAATATTTTTCACTTTCTTCTTTTTTTTTATTGCCTCTATTATTTCCTACTAAAAAGAAAAAAGCCACGTGTCATTTGAGATTACGAAGCCCGAAAATTTATTGGATTTGTTTTTGGGTTGTTACCACGAAAAACCTTAAACTGGTACATTTGAAATAAATTTACCCCAGATTAATTTTCTGATCACCAGAAACCCCAAACAGGTACACTGATGACAAATTTACCTCCCGTTAATTTCCATTAATACCAGGAAAAACCACAAACTAAGTGCACTTGTGACAAACGAATGATAAAAGCCCAAACAAGTACGCCCGTCGAGCCAATAATTTAACGGTAAAATTTAACGAAAATTAACGAAGAGTAAATTTGTCACAAATGTACCAGTTTGAGGTTTCGTGGTATTAACCCTATATTTTTTTTTGTCAAAACCTATTGGATTTCACACCTTAGAAGTTACAATGCCTCATATTTTCTGATGCGACCGACACAATAGACCTCGCTCTACATAAAACGTGGACAACGTTGATAAAAAAAAAGAATGCTCTAAAGATATTTATCAATGCTATGCGATAAAAAAAAGTTTTAATTTTCAATTACACAAAAATAAGCAAATTGGGTATCTTGATTCGTGGCAATAACTACATTTTTTTAGCCAAAAAAAACTATATTTTCATTTTTTTTTTCTTATGAATAACACGCGCGTATAAACCTTTTTGTTCATATTTATATCTTAAGAAAAGTTTTATTTGCAGAATGATCGATGCAACCAATAAAGTTACCCTAATTGGGAGACTTTAGGTCCGGAACAACTTTAAGCCGTTTCGTCGATTTGTTTTTCAAATTCTATTCTTAGATGGATGGGAAACTAACACAAATAGTTCATGAACTTTAATATAATGTGTAATGTGGTCCTTGAACTTTAATTAAGGGAATGACAATATTAAACGTTTTCATATAGTTCAGGGACTAAATTGAATATGTACAAAAAGTTCAGCGATCACATTGCATCTTGAGTTAATGTTTAAGGATTACATTGAACATATTAAAAGTTCATCAGCCACATTGCAAATTAGACCAAAGTTTGAGGATTATTGTGTCGTTATCCCTGGATGGGTAAATAAAATCTCTTTTCTTTTCTAATTTGTTTTTGGGGCGGGGTTTTTTCTTTTTTTTTTTTTTTTTGGTCATGGGGGTTTTTTCTAATTAGAAGTAGGAATTTAGGAGTGATTCAACTTTGGAGGCCTCCCAATAAAAGCACGCGTCATCGGCGCCACGTGCGGAGTTCCGAGCGTGGGGTCAAAGCTCGACCCGTTCCCCCAAAAAAAAAAAACAAAAACAAAGAAGTTTCAACGACCCCCCCGTCCACGTGGCGGCACCTCATTGGCTCCACCACGTGTCCTCCTTGCGCGTCCCCGAACGAGCATCGTTGAGATCGCCGCCTCAATGCGCTTCGTCCTCGGGTCGTTCGGACGTTCCGTGATCGGCCCGCCTCAAACAGGGCCGCTGGTCCCGGAAACGTCGCCCGCTCTCCCGCCCCTGCCCTCGCGTTCTCCGCTTAATTACGATCGTGCCACCCGTCGATGCACGGTAAAAAAAAAAAAAAGAAAAAAAATCCCCCCGCGCCCGATTCGCCGGTCCGAGTCCGAGGTAAATCCGAACGTGGGAATCGTGTCCACAGTAAAAATTTGCCCGTTCCCGCCCCGCCCTCCCTCCCTCCCCGACCCCACGATGAATCATCATACGATTTACCGTCTCGTGGGAACCCGATCATCATGGTGTTCTCTCTCTTTTTCCAATTTTCCCACCACCACACGCACATCCTCCAACCTTACTATCATTTTCATCGGTTAGATAAATGAAAAAAAAAATCGAGAATTAGCTCCGAATTTGCGATGTTTCGTCCTAATTTAAGCCGTTCTCTCGGTTCGGACCAACACTCTTTCTTCTGGTATGCTGTGTATGCAAAGCGGGCGGTGCTGATCGGTTGTTATTATAATGCGTGGTCCGTGTCGGTCTGTAACGTGGTAGGTTTGCAATCGCTCTCGATTGCATCGGATCGGGACTCGAATTCTTATCTGGCAATTACAGTATCTGGCAATTACAGTACCAATTTAGTCCCGAACATTTTGATGATCTGTCAATTTAGTCCCAAACCTTTTGACGATTTGCTATTTTAATCCTTCCCGCCAAGTATCTAAATAATAAAATTTATGACTAAATTGATAAATTTTCAAAAGGCTCATGATTAAATTGACACAAATAAATGTTCAGTAATGAATTGGCAAATAGTTTAGAGGTTTCAGACTAAATCGGCGCGGTTGAAACGATGTTTCGTCCGAATTTAAACCGTTCTCTCCATTCGGACCGGCGCCCTTCCTTCTGATACGCTGTATATGTAAATAGCGGGCGGTGGTGCGGATCGATTGTTACTGTGATGCGCAGCCCGTGTCGGTCCCCGACATGGCAGGTTTACAATCGCTGCCGATCGTATCAGATCGGGACTCGGATTCTTACCTCTCTATTACAGGGCACTTATCGGGATTAGGAATTGACCTTTTTCGGGTCACCAAATCAAAGACAATCCTCATAGAGGGGGCACGCGATTTCTTTCTTATTTTGCTTAATCCGCAGGGGGGATACCGTGGTGATTCGGGTGCACAGGAGATGAAACGGTCCGACGTCACATGCTATAATTGCCCCCTCCCCCCGGCGGCTTTACGTTATAAAAAGAGGGAAACCCCACAAAAAAAAACAAAAAAAAAAAACGAGTGGGGGGGCGAAAAAAGGAAAAGAAAAAAAACCAGAGCTTTTCGCGGAGACCATCGTCTTCCGATAATAATACCCCCCGAAGAGAGAGAAAGCGAGCAGCAGCAGCAGCCTCCTCCTCTCTCTTCGCCCTTTCTCTCTCTACTGCACAGAGGAACTCTCTCTCTTCTCTCTCTCTCCTCTTTCTCTCTCTACAGAGCGACCCGTTTCGACGTAAAGCGTTATGGAGTCCCTGGGTTTCATGGAGGACATCTTTGACTTCCCCGACTTGGGCGAGGTCGTCGACGAGGAAGACGACCTCGGCAAGGGCAGCTCCAAGGCCGTCGCCGACTCCGCGAGCTTCGACGACTCGGCCACCCCTTCTCCCCCTGTAAGTCCCCCCCCCCCCCCTCCCCCCCCGGGCTCCCGCCCTTAAAGTTCCGATTTTTAACGCCGGCCGGCCCGGGCGGCTCCGGCGGGGCTTCCGGCGGGTCCCCCTCGGCGGCCCCCCACGACTCGGTCGGCTCGGCCGGGTCGAGCTCTGACTCAGTAAGATGTTGACTCGGCCGAGTCCCGGCCGGGCGGCGATTGATTGGCGTGCGATATTTTAGAATAAGGGAGAGGGGAGAGACGAGCCGTGCATTAGCGCCCCCGAAATGACGGTTTTGCCCCTGTACGGGGGGCCCGCGTGGCCCGCGGCCGTCGACTTTTCCACCGGGGGGGGGGGGGGCAGTTTCGGGATTTCGCGGAGGTTGACCATAATGGGCCTCCGCCCTTTTTTTGTATTCTTGCTATGTTATGCTGAGCTGTTGGTCATGATTTTAGGGTTGCACCTAATAAATGGACCCCAAGCCATAGCTTTACTTTCCGTTCCAAACGCTCGAAAGTCGTAAATTTTTTATTGAAGAATATGGGGAAAAAAATAATCATATGTGAAAGTGCCATGATATTGAGCTGGCTGGTCATTTTAATTCTTGACAAATTGGAACCGCTCATGGTGACAGATGTTATATATTCCAATCTTTAACACGGATTCCCTGTTCATGTGTCCACTGTGTACACACCACCTTGCTTGTCGCCAGCAAAAAGAAACCAATGTGAATCATTAGTGGGTGCTCTTTCACCAAAGTTTAGTACCCCATTAAGCCCCACTTTGTTGACTTATGAGTGCAGCCAGATTGTGTTTGGATATGGATGCCTTCTTTTGCACAATTGATGATTGTAGCAGTTCGTGGGGGTATCGAGAAATCTTGCTCTGGTGACAACCGCGATACGTCGTGACCGCCTCGTCAATAACGACCTAGCAATTCCTTGGGGGCTGCATTTGGTGACCGGGATGTAGAGCCCGGTTAGGTGGACGGATTAGTTATGGGGATGATGTGGTGTGTCGGAAGTAGGTACCGTGCACGGGTCTATAGATGCGCAACAAACTCCGATTGTCACTCGCTTGAAGGAACGAGCCGGCTTTGTTGCTGAAATTATTGGGCTTGTTCATACGATATGATCATCAAATGTTCGTGTGCTTGGATTGTTACCGAGTCATTGTCACATCATCTTTGTGAAATTGAGTTTTATTTGTTTGAAACAATGGACAGGATATGACTTGGGAATCTCATAGTTACCATCAATTGTCTTAATTGAATTATGTTCATGATCTTTATGCGTGGCAGGAAAATGGGGAGGAAGATTTGGAATGGATATCGAACAAGGACGCATTCCCTTCTTTGGAATCATTCGACGACATTATCCCCGACCAACCAGGGAACATCTTTAAGGACGACAGCTTCATTCCCATGCTCGAAAATAGCAGCAGCAGCAGTACGACGACCAGCACAAACAGCACCGGCAACAGGGGCGGCGCCACGGCCATTGTGAGTTGTTGCGGCGGCCCCCGTGTGCCAGTCCGTGCCCGAAGCAAGCGGGCCCGGGAGCGCCGGCGTGGGGGCTTCGGTGTTTTCGCCGCCGCAAGGTTATGGCGGGACCAAGAGAAGGCGAATAAGAAGGCGAAGTTGGGTCAAGGCGGCGTCAAGATCGGGAGGAAGTGCTTGCATTGTGGGTCGGAGAAGACACCGCAATGGCGTGCAGGGCCGGGGGGACCCAAGACTCTATGTAACGCTTGCGGGGTGAGGTTCAAGTCAGGCCGGCTCGTGCCTGAGTATAGGCCGGCGAGTAGCCCGACTTTCTCAAGCGAGCTGCACTCGAACTCGCACCGGAAGATAGTAGAGATGAGGAAGATGAAGAAAATGGGTGGGGGGCTGAAAGGTGTGGATATAAGAGTAAAGTAGTGGAGATTAGTATTAGTAGTCTAGTCTTCTTTTATATAATTAATCATTTAGGTCTCTTTTTCCCTTTTATAGGCATAGTCTTAGTGTTTAGGAGTAAGGGGTTTGGTTTAAATTCAATGGAGATTTCAAAGTTCTTTATCATGCTAGAAGAAGAAATCCTATTTGGGGAATTTTGACATTGGCAATGTTGGTTTGTCATGCTTTAGAACAAGAAAGGAGGAAAAAAAAGGGGAGGAAGAAGTTAGAGCTCATTTTCGTTGTTGCTCATTTCAAATTCTTTTTTGCAAGTGCTTGAATTGCAGATGAGGAAGTTTTGGGGGAGTGTTGCTTGCAAGAATTGAGGGTTTTGGTGATGCTTGTTTGGTTGAGGGAAACTGATTCTCGTGGTGTGTGATGACCTTTGAAGTTTGACTCGTGGCGTGGAAGGGTGGTGGAAGGGTGGTTGGAGGGCGGTTGATGTCGATGAATGAATGATTTGTAACATAAATTTAGTCTGATTGAATTGGAGATTGCAGCTGATTTTCCCGGCTGTCTTGTTTTGTTTGACACTATTGTTTACCTTGCGGCATTGGTAGGTTTTCTTAACATGAAGCTCTTTTGTTTGCTTCTGAACTCTGATGGCTTTCTGCAATAAGCTTGACCCCTGAAATTGCACTGCCCTCCTTTGTTTAGGTCTGGCTGTGTCCAGACTTCTGAGAAGTTTGTTCAATATCACCGCACGTGAAAGAATTCAGACTGGTTCTGCTAATATTCACGAACTGTTTCTGATCAAGCTCGCCCATCAGAAAGCGAGCAGGAAGTGTCGTGCCTTGAACTGAGTATCCCTTCTAAACCTGTTGCGCGCGTGATCGACTGGGTGCGCTGACATTGCGAGCAACGGTCAATGGTGCTATGCGGGCATGAGTGATGTGCAAGCGGCTGCGAACGTGATCAGTGGGGCAAGCAAGGACCGTGTGAGCATGGTGTCGAGCCGGGCTGTATGCGACTTGACCCCATGTGCTTGTGGCAAAGGTCGGTGTGCTTCCATGCGCGATTACATGCGTGTGAGAATCGATCCTCCGACACCTATTATAAGTGTCTTAAACTTCCAATCCCATTTTCCGTAAACATGAGATCCAATTAGTGTCAACACACCTGGAATTTGCCTTCAAGATGCCTTCCCTTGCGTCAACTCACTTCTCCCTTCTCTCCAATTCAAACGTTTTCCACGAAAGGCAGCACCTAAAAATGCCGTTAGCTCTAGTAAGTGCATTCAGGCTCAGTCTACATCATGCTCTATTCTTGTTGCATTTTCGTTCCATCTAATATACACCTATCGAAACACTCTACCATTGCTTTCGTTTTGGTCGTTTAATCCACAGTTTAGTGGAACCTAATCAATCGTCCACCTTCGATTTGTCACTTGGAACTAAGATCTTTGAGATGCTCGTTGTAGTCATCAACTTCATCGCCCTCTTTTGGTTATAGTCGGACCATAACTCGAGGGGTCGACACCCAAATGTTGATTTAAGAGAATTTCTCTGGGCTATACCTAATCCAATGTTGCACGCCCCATCTCAAAACTCTCTTTGGTTGTTTTGTATTTGGACTGGATTAAAATTGAGCCAAAAGTAACATCTATTTTGCTGGTATGGGCTTTTTGGCTTGAGAGCATGGATATGTTGGGAGTTCATTTGTAAAATAAACAAAAAGTGCCTTGTCCCGTGTAGGAAAGTTGGGATTGTATGGGCCAATATATAAGTGTGGAATTATTCTAAGATTACAATCTAAGACAATGGATTAAGTGGGCTTGAACCTACAATACTCGCATGAGGGTGCACAAATAATTATGCGACTTTGGCGCCTGAATCCTTGTTTATTATTTATTATATATACGGCTGTTTATTTTGCTAATGGTTATTAGGCGTTTATAAAATTCAGATTTAAAAAAATATTATTTATTTATTTGAATTTTCAATGTGTCTGTCCACTTTGCAACCTTTCCCAAAGGAATGCTTCTGTTATAAAGACTAATATAAGTTCGTCGGTTTTCCGCCTCATAAATATACTCTTGTTGATTTTTCTTTCTAAAAAAAAAACTACAACCATCGTTTCTAAGTTGTTTTCTTTTGAGAGTTCTTGTAGAAACATCAGAATTGCTATCTCATATTCTCGTTGAAACTTTGTTGTATCCTAGAGGATTTTTGTTGGTAACCATTAGCAACGTTGTAGGAAATTATTCCTTGAAGAGAGTGTTATTACGCCTCAAAATCTGATTCCATCTTATTTCCAAGTCGATCGTTCAATATTTTCCCAACAGTATCAATTGACATATATCTGATATCATAGGTAAAGTATCATCAAACCCAATAGAGTTAGGAGGAGAACAAATCTCAGTCGTTCGATAGATCTGTACCAAAGATATGCAAGTGGCAATGGCAATCGAGACCCTTTCAGTTTCAGGCAAGCAATTGAGTGAGCAACACTTTGAGTTTGCAAGTTTTGCTCTTGTTTTTTCGGTTTGGGTCGTTTTCAACATTTCCTTGACGGGGCCACCAATTTCATTTACCTGCTTTAGAAGCTTCTTCAATGCCCTTTTAGGGGGGATAAGCTCGATTGTCAACGCAAATCTGGTCACCTTCAAGCATACTAGTCTGATATTTCATTGAAGGTACAAACCTACGCAGAAGCTGCCATGATCTGGTTGGGCCAAACCTAACTTTGACGTTTAAATTAGGCACAATTCAAATATGGTTTGGCTAAACATTATTTTCGGCTATGAAGAACTACATATCTAGCTCATCTAACACCCTTCCCAGAAGTCATTAAGTTCTTGTAGTAATAAGAAACCACCCCGGAATGTTCGTAATTTTTTGTTGATCGTGTTAAAGTATTATCTCGCATCGTTTTACTATTGAACGTATCAACTATTTCACTTTTTAGTCGCGGTACCCTCCTTTTTCTTGCAAACATAGCACGTGAATCGAAAATACTAGTAAAATTTAAAATTATGGACTTGGGTTGAAACCAGGCCTACTCGCATAGGCCCGACCCGAACATATTCAAACTCAATTCATTCGATCAAGCTTAATTGTCATTGAACTCTACGCATGCATGCCTAATTATTTTCCTTAAGCTATTATACTTATTTCAATGTAAGACTACAAGTTCATAATACTTGGACGAGATAAGTATACTGAAAGTCCTAAAATGTGTAACAAAAGTATAATTGAGTCATAAAACTTTTAAAAAATGCAATCAAGTCATAAAACTTATCAAGTTTGTGTAAGTAAGTCCTTTATTAACTCCGTCCAACTTGACAGACGAAAAATGCTAACAAGTTTTATGATTTGATTGCATAAATTTGATAAGTTTTAGGGTTTAATTATATTTTTTTAAAGTTTTATGACTCGATTGCACTTTTGTAATAAGTTTTAGGACTTGATTGTACTTTTTGAAAATTTTAGAACTCAATTACATTTTCGTGACAACATTTTAAAAATTTTGGTGCAATTATTTTAACTTGGACAATGGAATTAGCGACCATTTTGATAGGATTTCTCTGTTAAAAGTCGAACGATCTTCCACATATGTCTTGACGAAGAAAAATCTTTCGCTATTAGGTTGATTCACAGCTGCTTATATCATACAATCAAAGTGAAGAAGTAACAGAAAGTTCGGCGACGGTGACGTGGGCTTCGTGTTCATGGCAAAAAAGATGACATGAAGAAGACTGCGAGGTATGAACAAAGGCGTCGAAGTAGCTTCACTTTGGAACTCCACGACCGAGTCAAAGCCAACAGTTATCACTATCGCTTTAGAGCCTCAGTTTTCAAGAGTCAAAACTGAGCAGCTTCAGAAGTTTCTTCAAGGTGACGCAGCATCCCAGAAACGGTCCAAAACTCTGTCAGAAGATTCTCTCTGCACTTTTTCCCTTGTGATTTGACATCTTCTTTTTGTCTGCGGAACACAGTTTTCGTCCAATGAAAGAGCAGAGAAATTAGGGTTTTGGATTGAAAGTACGGCTTGAATTGTCAAACTGGGTTTGCGGCGGAACTGGAATTCAAAGGTTAGGCAGATCATCGGATTTTCGATAAACTAGACAGAGAAGGGCACACGTGAGTTCGTGTTTCCATGTGCTGCGATAATGAATTCTTGGTTAGGAACTTGTAGAATTTAGGTGTTGTTCTGGTCCACAAATGAGGGCTACGTTCGGCTTAATGTTTGACGCTTGAATTCCCGGTTAAGACGGACATGAGAGTTTGGTATTCAAAATGATATGATAGACGATAAGTATTTAAGTAAGCAAATCATATTTATCGCCCGTAAGGAATCTGTCGGTCACTGCATTTACCAAATTTTGTGCACTGGTTTTAGCACAAATTGCAAAACTCTTCCTTTCGTTTTTATTTATTACGATTCAAATTGAGTTAATCTTTGTTACTTTCAGGATTGATTTATGATAGCGATCAAGATTGGATGGTGTCGAAGAATCAAATTAGAGGAAAAGTTAACTTGAACCAAAAGTAAGTTCAGTCATGGGTAGCTGCTCAATGACCTTTATATCTACCTCAAATCGAATATATTGTTGAAAGCCAAAAGTAGAAGCATATTCGCCCTGATAAGAGAAAATGACACAAACGGTTAATGAATTTTGGTTCAATGTACAATGTGATTCATGAACTTTTAATTTGTTCAATATAGTCGCTGAACTATATCAAAATGTTTAATATTGTCCCTGAACTTTAAATTAATTGAACAACAACATTAAATATTTTCATATAGTTCAAGAAGTAAGTTGAACATATACCAAAATTTCATGGACTACATTTGACAAATTAAAAGTTTGGGAACTACGTTGCACATTGGGTCAAAGTTCATGGGTTTTATATGTCATTATCCCCACCGATAAACACGGGCCCTAATTCCACTTTCACAAAATGACAACGAATAAACTATCTTGTGTCGTGATCCCATTTCAGCATCCTCTTCCACCCAAAGGTGGTGGTGTTCGATAAGGGTGTGTAAAGGAATCGGGAATCGCCTAGACCGCTCGGAACCAGATTGGATTGGCCCGGAACCGGCGGTTCTCATAGGGATTGGTCCGGTTCCCGGTTCTAATTTACTAGAACTGATGAGTACTGGTCCGATTTTCGGTTCTAGGCTTGAAACCGCCCACCCGACGATCCGGACCGGACCGGTAATATATATATACACACATATATATAATTTTTAAGAAAAATTTCAACAACAAAAAAAACAAGAAAACATTTATAGAATAATGAACCCACTCTATACTCTCATCAATTCACGGTCGCGCCTCTAGCTGTTCATTGCCTCCCTTTCTCACTCTCGATCATCTTCATTTGCGTGAAACTTAATGGGACCGGTTTCATGGACCCACCCGGGAATCGGATCGGACCGACGGTTCGGTTCCTAGGTGGATCCACGGAACCAAGGGCAGTTCCTGGTTCTAATTTCTCAGAACCGGTCCTTAGTGGGCGATTCCCAGTTTCATGTTGGGAACCGCTCGCTTGGACCATACTCACTCCTAGTGTTCGACTTGC